CTCCACCCTTTTCCAACTACCCTTTTCCCCACCCATGCCACAGTAGTGGTAGTTGCTCCTGGTTTAGAGTCACTATAGGGTCTGCAGATCAGAGTCACAAATGCTACTGCAGCTCTGAAGGGGAGAGGAGGTCCTATAGCAAAAGCATATTCCCATAAAGATTGATTTACATTGTGGCCAAAGTCCACAGTACTACAGTTTAACTACCATAAGAGATAAGTGTTCCTCTATAGGCTGGCCTGGAAACCTAAGCATTTCATAGTTATTTTCTATTTTCAAACTTCCAAAGCAAGGTCTACCTGTATGTGTCATTTCCCATAACACTGGATTTTCTTCATAACAAGTATTTAGTGAATGGTTTGATGGGCTTTGAGGTACACATAAGCTCATAAAGTGCTTTAATGTAAATATTGATACAATTGATTTTTTTCTTTTCTTTTTCTTTTTCTTTTTTTTTCCAGAGACAGGGTCTCACTCTGTTGCTCAGGCTGGAGTACAGTGGTGCAGTCATGGCTTATTGCAGCCTTGACCTTTACAATGTTATGCTACCGTCAACTCTATCTGGTTCCAAAACATTTTCATTGCCCTTAGATACTATTTATTTTTTCATTGAGACGGAGTTTCACTCATTGTCCAGGCTGGAGTGCAATAGCACGATCTTGGCTCACTGCAACATCTGCCTCCTGGGTTCAAGCGATTCTCCTGCCTCAGCCTCCCAAATTTCTGGGATTATAGGTGCCCGCCACCACGCCCATCTACTTTTTTGTATTTTTAGTAGAAACGGGGTTTCACCCTGTTGGCCAGGCTGGCTCAAACTCTTGACCTGAGATGATCGACCCGCCTCGGCCTCCCAAAGTGCTGGGATTACGGGCATGAGCCACTGCGCCCGGCTGACACAATTTATTTTTATTTTTTGACATGAAGTTTCACTCTGTCATCCAGACTGGAGTGCAGTGGCGCAATCTCGGCTCACTGAAACCTCTGCCTTCCGAGTTCAAGCGATTCACCTGCCTCAGCCTCCCAAATAGTTGGGATTCCAGGTGCCCACCATCGTGCCTAATTTTTTACTTTTAGTGGAGCAGGAGCAGGGAGCGGGGGGAGGGGGGAGCCTCACCATGTTGGCCAGGCTGGTCTCGAACTCCTGACCTCAGGTGATCTGCCTGCCTCGGTCTCCCAAAGTGATGGGATTACAGGCGTGAGCCACCATACCCGGCCAGATACAATTTATTTTTAAAGGGGCTCACTCCGGGAGCTTTAAAGATTGTAGTGGGCGTTTTCCAACAAGGAGGGAATTACTTCTGGGATGCTAGCAGCTGGGGCATGAAGCATCTCCAAGGGAAAGTGCATGGGAGTGAAGTCTGTATGTAGGTCTTCCTGGCTTGGGTGCTCACTGGGGTACTTAAATTGTAGGTGATAACTGCTAAGAATGTGGCATTTCTATTTTAGTATGCTTTCAGTCATAAGAGAGGCAACAAGCCAAACCCTTCCATTTTAAAAGATGACAACTAAAGCACATGTGCATAACTCAGCAAGCCAGTGCATGTACCCCTATTTTTTCACTTTGAAATGTAGGACACTCCTTCCATTCCGTGTTGAATCTAGATTAAATATCAAGTCCATAAGCTTATTAGGTGTACCTACAGGAGGTAGGAGCACTGGCCTCCCATCTAACTGCATCCTCTCTGACCACTTTTGCAGAAACATCCCCCACCCCACCCCACCCCACCTCTTTTGAGACCAATCTTAAACACCAATTTGAGGCCACCCTCCCAGGTGTTAAACTTTTTCTGTACCCTCAGGCTAAACACCCAATTAGCATCAACAAGCTTTACTATTTTTTTTTTAACTTTCTCTTTTTTGTGTGTGTGTAAGACAGAGTCTCGCTGTGACGCCCAGGCTAGAGTGCAATGGCGTGATCTCAGCTCACTGCTACCACTGCTTCCTGGGTTCAAGCAATTCTCCTGCCTCAGCTTCCCTGGGACAACAGGTACGCACCACCACGCCCGGCTAATGTTTGTGTTTTTAGTAGAGACAGGGTTTCGCCACATTGGCCAGGTTGGTCTGGAACTCCTGACCTCAAGTGATCTACCCACCTCGGCCTCCCAAAGTGCTGGGATTACAGGCTTGAGCCACCACGCCCGGCCAGAATTAAGAAGCTTTATTGGAGCATACCATTTGTCTAACACAAATGGATCACATTACAATAGCCACACTTCTCTAATATCTGCCCTTACTGGAGACAAAAATGCCATTCCATTTTAGACGCTATGAGAAAGACAACCTATGCAGACCCTACTCACCCCCAAATAAAGGAAAAAAAGGGCATCACTTGAATTTTAAAGTTTATTTACTTTGAAGTAACTAACTTAAAAAATGGCCTGAGTTCAGTGTATTACAAAGAAGAAATGGTCATAAGATGGCAGTATAAATTCATTTCTACACGTAGAGACCGGAAAAAAAGCAAGTTCAGTATTTCACCAAAAAAGTTACATTCAGTACTTCACCAAAAAACTTGAACATTGCAAACACAGGAAACTAAGAAATGACAAACAAATATTAGGAAATACAAAGTCTTGAAGCGCCAAAACAAAAACAGTAATCTTGGGAAGGCTCCTAATCTACCTCCTCAATGGTGGGGCCTGACCCAGACCCTCCCTTGGGACCCTGAGCCCCGAAGCCGCCAGGCCCAGGACCACCTGCACCCTGGTACAGTCCGCTGATGATGGGGTTACACACCTGCTCCAGCTCCTTCCTCTTGTGCTCAAACTCGTCCTTCTCGGCCAGGGTGTTGGCATCCAGCCACGAGATGACCTCTTGACACTTGTCCAGCACCTTCTTCTTGTCGGCCTCGCTGATCTTGCCCTTGAGCCCCTCATCCTCCACGGCGCTCTTCATGTTGAAGGCGTACGACTCCAGGGCGTTCTTGGCTGACACCCTCTCGCGCTGCACCTCGTCCTCCGCTTTGTACTTCTCTGCCTCCTGCACCATGCGCTCGATCTCCTCCTTGCTCAGGCGGCCCTTGTCGTTGGTGATGGTGATCTTGTTGGCCTTGCCGGTGCTCTTGTCCGTGGCCGTGACGTTCAGGATGCCGTTGGCATCGATGTCGAAGGTCACCTCGATCTGGGGCACGCCCCTGGGGGCCGGAGGGATACCGCTCAGCTCGAAGCGCCCCAACAGATTGTTGTCCTTCGTCATGGCCCTCTCGCCCTCGTACACCTGGATCAGCACCCCGGGTTGGTTGTCCGAGTAGGTGGTGAAGATCTGTGTCTGCTTGGTGGGGATGGTGGAGTTGCGCTTGATCAGGGCAGTCATCACGCCTCCGGCCGTCTCCAGCCCCAGCGACAGCGGAGCCACGTCCAGCAGCAGCAGGTCCTGCACGTTCTCGGACTTGTCCCCCATCAGGATGGCCGCCTGCACCGCCGCCCCGTAGGCCACAGCCTCATCGGGGTTGATGCTCTTGTTCAGGTCGCGCCCGTTGAAGAAGTCCTGCAGCAGCTTCTGCACCTTGGGGATGCGGGTGGAGCCCCCGACCAGGACCAGGTCGTGGATCTGGGCCTTGTCCAGCTTGGCGTCGCGCAGAGCCTTCTCCACGGGCTCCAGGGTGCTTCGGAACAGGTCCGAGCACAGCTCCTCGAACCTCGCCCTGGTGATGGACGTGTAGAAGTCGATGCCCTCAAACAGGGAGTCGATCTCCAGGCTGGCCTGGGTGCTGGACGACAGGGTCCGCTTGGCCCTCTCGCAGGCGGTGCGCAGCCGCCTCACGGCTCGCTTGTTCTGGCTGATGTCCTTCTTGTGTTTTCTCTTGAACTCCTCCACGAAGTGGTTCACCAGCCTGTTGTCAAAGTCCTCCCCACCCAGGTGGGTGTCCCCGGCCGTGGCTTTCACCTCGAAGATGCCGTCGTCGATCGTCAGGATGGACACGTCGAAGGTGCCCCCGCCCAGGTCAAAGATGAGCACGTTGCGCTCCCCCTTGCCCGTTCTGTCCAGGCCGTAGGCGATGGCCGCCGCCGTGGGCTCGTTGATGATCCGCAGCACGTTGAGCCCCGCGATCACCCCCGCATCCTTGGTGGCCTGGCGCTGCGAGTCGTTGAAGTAGGCCGGCACGGTGATCACCGCGTTGGTCACCGGGTAGCCCAGGTACGCCTCGGCGATCTCCTTCATCTTGGTCAGCACCATGGACGAGATCTCCTCGGGGTAGAATGCCTTGGTCTCCCCCTTGTAGCTCACCTGCACCTTGGGCTTGTCTCCGTCGTTGATCACCTGGAAAGGCCAGTGCTTCATGTCCGACTGCACCACCGGGTCGCCGAACTTGCGGCCGATCAGCCGCTTCGCGTCAAACACGGTGTTCTGCGGGTTCAGCGCCACCTGGTTCTTGGCCGCATCCCCGATCAGCCGCTCGGTGTCTGTAAAAGCCACGTAGCTGGGGGTGGTGCGGTTGCCCTGGTCGTTGGCGATGATCTCCACCTTGCCGTGCTGGAACACCCCCACACAGGAGTAGGTGGTGCCCAGGTCGATGCCGATCGCCGCGGCTTTGGCCATGCCGGTGCCCTGCTGTCTGCTCCGCTCCGAGATTCGGGACTGGAAACGGCGGACGGGACCCGCGACAAGAGCTCACTCCTCCGGAACGCCGGAAACTCAACGGCGCTGGTGCCTGCAGCCGCACAGGTTCGCTCTGGGAAGCCTCGGGACAACGGGAGCCACGCTCTGGAAACGCAGCGATTTCTCGCAGCAGCTCCTGAGGCTGGCCGTTTTCCGGACCGAGGGCCCCTCGGCGTTTATAAGCCGTCGCGGAGACCCGCCTTTTCCCTTCTGAGCCAATCACCGAGCTCGATGAGGCTGCCAGGTCGGGAATATTCCAGGGGTTTCGCCTCCCGTCCTGCCCCCCAGCCTTCCTTGGACCAATCAGAGGCCAGGGTTCCGCCCCCTGCTCAGAACTCTCCAGAGTCTTCTGGGATTCACTGGAGGGGACAGGGGCCCTGAGAGAAAGGGGGAGTGGCGGTGGGAAGGGTGTTGGTCTCCATGGCGATGCTGGCCGCCTCCGCTTCAGCGCCTAATTGACAGGAAGGGTCGGCGCTGGGCTTTTAATTGTGGGGGCTTGTGCAGTTATGGGCAGGCGGATGGTGCGGGGAGCGGGTGACGCGCGTCCAGGGGAGGGTGGGGGCGTTTGTGTTGACACTGCCCGGGCACGTTACAATGGAGACACTGTCTCTGACCTCATGGGCCAGTTTGGAGAAAGATGACTGAGTTGGAGCCCGCTCAAATTTGCAGGGAGGGACGGGGTGGGGGGTGGGGGGACCCCGGTTGTGCAGTTTTATATTGAGGGAGCCCCCACCTACTCGCCGGGGCTCCATAATCTGAACGTTTCCAAACTGAAGCGAAGGCGTCGGGAGACTAGGTGAGCCAGTTAGGGATCTGATTGATTGTGAACCTGCAAGGCCCAGTAGGTCCTTGTTTGGGAAAGTAGTGGAAAGTTCCCTAGTTGGTTTAAGCCTGAGGTATATGGGCGTTGGCTGATCCGGGTAGGAGGAGCACTTGGGGAAAGCTAAGATGGCTCCAGATTGATTGGTCAGAGCAGCCAGAATGGGGGAGGTGGGAAAAGGGGGAGGCGGGGAAGGAAGCGGAGTAATTGGGAGGCGGGGGAAGGGAGTGCGGCCAGGTGGGGAAGTGGGGAGGCGGGGTAAGGGAGAGGCGGGGTAAGAGGGAGGCGGGATGAAGGGGAGGCGGGGTGAAGGGGAGGCGGGGTGAAGGGGAGGCGGGGTAAGGGGGAGGTGGAGGAAAGAGAGTTCGGCCTAGGAATCTGAGGTGTGGAGAGGGGTAGACCCTAAACCGTTTATTTTATTTTATTTTATTTTTTTGAGAGGGAGTCTCGCTCTGTCGCTCAGGCTGGAGTGCAGTGGCACGATCTTGGCTCACTGCAAGCTTCGCCTTCCGAGTTCTCGCCATTCTCCTGCCTCAGCCTCCCGGGTAGCTGGGACTGCAGGCGCCCGCCACCACGCCCGGCTAATTTTTTCTTTTTTTAGTAGAGACGGGGTTTCACCGTGTTAGCCAGGATGGTCTCGATCTGCTGACCTCGTAATCCGCCCGCCTCGGCCTCCCAAAGTGCTGGGATAACAGGCGTAAGCCACCGCGCCCGGCCCTTAAACCCTTTATTGATTAGTTATTGACTCCAGAAAACGGGTTTTCTTTAGGAGAAGGATAGAGATACTGTCTGGACCGCATGTCTTTTGAGAAAACTCGCGGGCTTGTGGGTTTCTAGCAGTCATCTTCAGGCTGACTGGAATTGACTGCCTGTGAACCCCTAGTAGAGAATAGTATCCCCGGAAGGCAGCAGAACTCAAGTGTGGAGGCTGATGTCTCTTGGAAGAGACCAGAATGTACACTACTCTTGGGTCATAAAGAGACAGAGTCCCACAAAAAAATATATGACAGACACAGGAACAGGACAGTAGAATTAGGTCACTTGGGAAATTGAAAACAATATACAGCTACTTGCTTCCAAACTCCTTTGAGTAGCTGAGAATACTTCACCCTGTCCAAAAAGCACTCTGCCATGACAGTAGCGTCTCCATGTATTTGTATAGGTTTGTTCATAGCAACATTATTGTGTAAACTGTGTCCATCGAGAGATGCATAAGCAAAATGTGGTATATAGGCTGGGTGCGGTGGCTCATGCCTGTCATCCCAGAACTTTGGGAGACCGAGGCGGGCGGATCATTTAAGGTTAGGAGTTTGAGACCAGCCTGGCCAACATGGTGAAACTCTGTTTGTACTAAAAATACAAAAATTATCAGGGTGCGGCAGTGCACGCCTGTAGTCCCAGCTCCTCGGGAGGCTGAGGCAGGAGAATTAGCTTGAACCCAGAAGGTGGAGGTTGCAGTGAGTCAAGATCGCGCCACTGCACTCCAGCCTGGGCAACAGAGTGAGACTCTGTCTCAAAACAAAAACAGAAATGAAGTTGTATATAAATATTGTGAATATTACTCAGCCTTAGGAAGGAAATTCTGACATGTTACAACATGGATGAAACCTGTGCACATAAGCTAAGTGAAATAAGCAAAGTCACAAAAGGACAAATACTGTATAATTCCACTTATATGAAGTTACAAGAGTAGTCAAATTCATAGAGATAGAAAAAAGAGGTCAGGTGCCTTGGCTCGAGCCTATAATCCCAACACTTGGTAACTTGGAGGTGGGAGGAGATTTCCTTGAGCCCAGGAGTGAGAAACTAGCTTGGGCAACATAGGGAGACCCTGTCTCTAAAAAAAAAATTAAAAATTAACTGGGTGTAGTGGCATTCACCTGTGGTCCCAGGTACTTGGGAGGCTAAGACAAAAGGATCCCATGAGTCTGGGAGGTCAAGACTGCAGTGAACCATGATCACACCACTGTAGTGCAGTCTGTGTGACAAAATGAGACCCTGTCTCTAAAAAAAATGAGAAAAAAGAATGGTAGTTACCAGGGGCTAAAGGGAGGGGAAAACGAGAGTTGCTTAATGAGTATACAGTTTCAGTTTTGCGAGATGAACAGAATATTGGAAATCGGTTGACCGATTTCAGTCACCACTGTGATTGAACTCACTACCAAACTCTACACTTAAAAATGGTTAAGATGGTACAATTTGTGTGTATTTTACCACAATAAAAAATAAAAAATAGGCTGGACAAGATGTTCACTCCTGTAATCCCAGTACTTGGGGAGGTTGAGGCTGAAGAATCGTTTGAGCCCATGAGTTTGAGACCAGCCTAAGCAACATAGTGAGACCCCATCTATACACAAAATTTAAAAAGTAGCCAGGCAGAGGGCTGGTCACCGTGGCTCACACCTATAATCCCAGCACTTTGGGAGGCTGAGGCGGGCGGATCACCTGAGGTCAGGAGTTCAAGACCAGCCTGGCCAACATAGTGAAACCATGAAACCCCATATCTACTAAAAATACAAAAATTAGCCAGGCGTGGTGGCACCCCCATAATCCCAGCCACTCGGGAAGCTGAGACAGGAGAATTGCTTGAACTCAGGAGGTGGAGGTTGCAGTGAGCCTAGATCATGCCACTGCAGTCCAGCCTGGATGACAAAGTGAGACTCCATCTCAAAAAAAAAAAAAAAAAATTTAGCCAGGCATGATGTCTCCAGTTACTCTGGAGGCTGAGGCAGGAAGACTGCTGGAGCCCAGGAGATCAAAGCTGCAGTGAGCTATGACTGCGCCTCTGCACTCCAACCTGGGTGACAGAGGAAGACCCTGTCTCAAAAAAATAAATAACATTGAAAAGCATTCTGCCAAAACAGTATCTCATTCTTTCTCCATAGGCCTCAGAGAACCATGGCTGCTGCCAAGGGAATTGCCATAGGTATCGACCTGGGCACCACCTACTCCTGTGTGGGGGTGTTCCAGCACGGCAAGGTGGAGATCATCGCCAATGACCAGGGCAACCGCACCACCCCCAGCTACGTGGCCTTCACAGACACCGAGCGGCTCATTGGGGATGCGGCCAAGAACCAGGTAGCCATGAATCCCCAGAACACTGTTTTTGATGCCAAACGTCTGATCGGCAGGAAATTTAATGATCCTGTTGTGCAATCAGATATGAAACTTTGGCCTTTTCAAGTGATTAATGAAGGAGGCAAGCCCAAAGTGCTTGTGTCCTACAAAGGGGAGAATAAAGCTTTCTACCCTGAGGAAATCTCTTCGATGGTACTGACTAAGATGAAAGAGACTGCTGAGGCGTTTTTGGGCCACCCTGTCACCAATGCAGTGATTACCGTGCCAGCCTATTTCAATGACTCTCAACGTCAGGCTACTAAGGATGCAGGTGTGATTGCTGGACTTAATGTGCTACGAATCATCAATGAGCCCACAGCTGCTGCCATTGCCTATGGTTTAGATAAAGGAGGTCGAGGAGAACGACATGTCCTGATTTTTGATCTGGGTGGAGGCACATTTGATGTGTCAATTCTGACCATAGATGATGGGATTTTTGAGGTAAAGGCCACTGCTGGGGACACTCACCTGGGTGGGGAGGACTTTGACAACAGGCTTGTGAGCCACTTCGTGGAAGAGTTCAAGCGGAAGCACAAGAAGGACATCAGCCAGAACAAGCGAGCCGTGAGGCGGCTGCGCACAGCCTGCGAGAGGGCCAAGAGGACCCTGTCGTCCAGCACCCAGGCCAACCTAGAAATTGATTCACTTTATGAAGGCATTGACTTCTACACATCCATCACCAGAGCTCGATTTGAAGAGTTGTGTGCAGACCTTTTTAGGGGTACCCTGGAGCCTGTAGAAAAAGCACTTCGGGATGCCAAGATGGATAAGGCTAAAATCCATGACATTGTTTTAGTAGGGGGCTCCACCCGCATCCCCAAGGTGCAGCGGCTGCTTCAGGACTACTTTAATGGACGTGATCTCAACAAGAGCATCAACCCTGATGAGGCAGTAGCATATGGGGCTGCGGTACAGGCGGCCATCCTGATGGGGGACAAGTCTGAGAAGGTGCAGGACCTGCTGCTGCTGGACGTGGCTCCCCTGTCGCTGGGGCTGGAGACGGCCGGGGGTGTGATGACTGCCCTGATCAAGCGTAACTCCACCATCCCCACCAAGCAGACACAGATCTTCACCACCTACTCCGACAACCAACCCGGGGTGCTGATCCAGGTATACGAAGGTGAGAGGGCCATGACGAAGGACAACAACCTGCTAGGGCGCTTTGACCTGACTGGAATCCCTCCAGCACCCAGGGGAGTTCCTCAGATCGAGGTGACGTTTGACATTGATGCCAATGGTATTCTCAATGTCACAGCCATGGACAAGAGCACAGGGAAGGCCAACAAGATCACCATCACCAATGACAAGGGCCGCCTGAGCAAGGAGGAGATTGAGCGCATGGTTCTGGATGCTGAGAAATATAAAGCTGAAGATGAGGTCCAGAGGGAGAAAATTGCTGCAAAGAATGCCTTAGAATCCTATGCTTTTAACATGAAGAGTGTTGTGAGTGATGAAGGTTTGAAGGGCAAGATCAGTGAGTCTGATAAAAAGAAAATACTGGATAAATGCAATGAACTTCTTTCGTGGCTGGAGGCCAATCAACTGGCAGAGAAAGATGAGTTTGATCATAAGAGAAAGGAATTGGAGCAGATGTGTAACCCCATCATCACAAAACTCTACCAGGGAGGATGCACTGGGCCTGCCTGTGGAACAGGGTATGCGCCTGGAAGGCCTGCCACAGGCCCCACAATTGAAGAAGTAGATTAATTCTTTTTGGAACTGAAGCATCCTAGGATGCCTCTACGTGTATTTCATTCCCCTCATCTTCAAACATCATTATTATTCTTGACCAGACCTGAACCTAAGTTACCATCCCTTGGGAATTCTGGAGGAGGAGTCTCATGCACCACCTATCACACTCCCTCATATCCTGTTTCTGACTCTGGAATGGACTCAGGAAAACTAGGCCCCTCTTTAAACCGTGTGATGTATTTGAATGTCTGTTATTTCCAGCCACCCTAACATTCTTTTTCCTGTGTGGATGCTTATTTGTCAATCAGTAAATTTGTTCCTAAAGGAAATTACTTCTGGTGTTTAGGCTGTGAATGTACCTCGAAGGGGAGAGTTCATGGAGAGAGCATGTGTTCTCTGATTGTGAGCTCACTGTGAATGATTAAATTAGTAAGGGTAAAGTATTTGAATTTTCATGAACTCATTGGGTTTTTTTTTCTTTTCTTTTCTTTTTTTTTTTTTTGAGATGAAGTCTTGCCCTGTCGCCCAGGCTGGAGTACAGTGGCACAATCTCGGCTCACTGCAAGCTCTGCTTCCCGGGTTCACGCCATTCTCCTGCCTCAGCCTCCCAAGTAGCTGGGACTGCAGGCGTCCACCACCATGCCCGGCTAATTTTTTGTATTGTTTTAGTAGAGATGGGGTTTCACCATGTTAGCCAGGATGGTCTCAATCTCCTGACCTCAGAATCTGCCCACCTCAGCCTCCCAAAGTGCTGGGATTACAGGTGTGAGCCACCGCGCCCGGCCCATGAACTCATTGTTTCAATCAGCACATAATTTTTGATCCTCAGATACCTTTAGCACAGATGGAACAGATTGTAAACTATAACTGCTTTTAATCAGTTACAGGCTGGTTTTGGTGTTTAGGACTCAGCTTGGGGTGGAGGGACAAATCCTGCTTGATGTCCTGATGTATAGGTAAGGTCCAGGAGGTTCAGCATCTGTGCACTCACAGAGTTCATTGTTTACATTCATTATATGGAGAAAATATTTCTTTTCTTTCTTTCTCTTTTTTTTTTTTTTTGGAGACAGAGTTTCACTCTTGTCGCCCAGGCTGGAGTGCAATGGCACGACCTTGGCTCACTGCAACCTTCGCCTCCCGGATTCAAGCAATTCTTCTGCCTCAGCCTCCTGAGTAGCTGGGATTACAGGCACTCACCACTACACTCAGCTAATGTTTGTGTTTTTAGTAGAGATGGGGTTTCACCATGTTGACGAGGCTGTTCTGAACTCCTGACCTAGGTGATACACCCACCTCAGCCTCCTAAAGTGCTGGGATTATAGGCGTGAGCCACCATGCCTAGCCCCAGAAAATATTTCTATAACAAACTCTTGACAAATAAGTACTTCTGTGCAAGATGACAAATAGAAGTTTATGAAGTCTTAGTCCATGAAAAAATATTTTTACCGGCCGGGTGCAGTGGCTCACACCTGTTATCCCAGCACTTTGGGAGGCCGAGGTGGGTGGATCATGAGGTCAAGAGATCGAGACCATCCTGCCCAACATGGTGAAACCTCGTCACTACTAAAAATACAAAAATTAGCTGAGCATGGTGGTGCACGCCTGTAGTCCCAGCTACTCGGGAGGGTGAGGCAGAGGAATTGCTTGAACCTGGGTTGTGGAGGTTGCAGTGAGCTGAGATCGTGGCACCGCACTCCAGCCTGATGACAGAGCAAGACTGCATCTCAAAAAAATTTGTTTTCTTTTACCTGTGTCCTAATATACATTTATAAAAACCTGGGGGACATGAGTTAGAATGATATGTAACTGTGCATTTCTGTCTGTGTTTGAAACATTTGGCAGTGAAATGTTAGACTGGGTTATTTGCATCTGTAAGCCACAGTCTCTTTTTACTCAGTCCTTTACAGGACAGTCTTGGCAAAAGTGTGTAAGAAATATGGAGATTGAGGTTGGCTCCTTTGGAGAAATATATTTATTGGTAACCTTTGATAAAACCAAAATTTGTGCTCCAGCTCCTTATCTCTGGGACTCCTCAACATTTTTTTGTTTTTTATAATTTTCTTTTTTATAGACAGAGTCTTGCCCAGGCTGGAATGCAGTGGGGAGATCGTAGCTCACTGTAACTCTTGGGTTCAAATGATCCTCCTGCCTCAGCCTCCCAAAATGCTGGGATTTACAAGCCTCAACATTTTGTTGTTGTTGTTGTTTTGAGACAAGAGTTTCACTGTTGTTGCCCAGGCTGGAGTACAATGGCACGATCTCCACTCACTGCAACTTATACCTCCTGGGTTTACAGGCGCGTGCCACCACACCTGGCTAATTTTTGGGTTTTTAGTAGAGACAGGATTTCGCCATGTTGGCCAGGCTGGTCTAGAACTCCTGACCTCAGGTGATCCATTTGCCTTGGCCTCCCAAAGTGCGGGATTATAGGCGTCAGCCACTGCGCCCGGTCAATTTTTTTTTTTTTTTTTTTTTTTTAAGACGGAGTCTCTCTCTGTCACCCAGGCTGGAGTGCGGTGGCCGGATCTCAGCTCACTGCAAGCTCCGCCTCCCGGGTTCACGCCATTCTCCTGCCTCAGCCTCCCGAGTAGCTGGGACTACAGGCACCCGCCACCTCGCCCGGCTAGTTTTTTGTATTTTTTAGTAGAGACGGGGTTTCACCGTGTTAGCCAGGATGGTCTCGATCTCCTGACCTCGTGATCCGCCCGTCTCGGCCTCCCAAAGTGCTGGGATTACAGGCGTGAGCCACCGCGCCCGGCCAATTTTTTTTTTTTTTGAGACGAGTCTCGCTCTGTCGCCCAGGCTGCAGTGCAGTGGCATGATCTTGGCTCCCTGCAACCTCCACCTCCCGGGTTCACGCAATTCTCCTTCCTCAGCCTCCCGAGTAGCTGGGATTACAGGCGCCCGCGACCACGCCTGGCTAATTTTTTTTGTATTTTTAGTGAAGACGGGACTTCACCATGTTGGCTAGCCTGGTCTCGAACTCCTGACCTCACACAATCCATCCACCTTGGCCTCTCAGAGTGCTGGGATTGAAGGCGTGAGCCACCGCCCTCGGCCTTTTTTTTTTTTTATCAGCTGAATTTAAGATTAAAAACATTTTTTAATTTTATTTTTTGAATTTTATGTTTTTACTTTAACAAATATAGAAAAGTGCACACTTCATAATCTTCACAAACTCCCCACAATTCTCGATAGGATGTGTGTAGAGGGCACGAACACATCACGCTGTGGACGGCAGGGTTATGGAAAACAACAAAACCTTTTGAGCTCAGACGCCGAGTGCCTCCACCCGCCTAGCAGCCCAGGTTAGGGTCCGCGCCTGCGCAATGGGAGCCGGCCGGCCCTGGAAGAAGTCGGAACGAAGGAAACCCCGCCCCTTTCCCGGCTTCCTCCTCCCCTCGGTTTTACCCAGCTTGCGCTCCCCAGCCGCAAGTCGGCCGCGCTTTACCCTTCAGCGCTTGGAGGGTTCTGCGTCCCTTCCCGCTGCGCCTGCGCGGTCCCGCCTCGCCCCACGCGCGGGCTCGCGCTTCGGTTCTCCCAGATCTGCTCTCAGCATCCGGCTCTTTTCTCGCTCCGGCCCGCTGCCCGCTGCGCCAGCACCATGGTGGGTACCGTGACGTCAAAAGGGGTCGCCCTCGGGGATCTCGGACGGTTGGGGCGGGGGGATCTGGCCTTTGTCCCCCTAGGCTGGAGTTAGGTCCGGAGTTTTTATCTTCATCGTTAGTCCTGTTCCTCAAGTTCGTTGAGGAGACACCTGAGAGCAAATGGGATTTTTTTTTTCCATGATGAGGAAAAAAACCCCAACCCTGAGAGAGATTCAGTGGGGACAGCGGGAGACGGAAAAGTTAGACCTTAGAGCACTTCTCTGCCAGGCAAGCTTCGGCAGGGTGCGGGTGGGATGTTTTCTGTAATTCATTGAAAGGAGTGGGCAGGTACCCGAGAAAGGTGGTCGATTGAGAGAGCACACTGGGGAGGCCGAGGTATGCAGGGCAGAGCCTCTCTGGGACTTTAAGTGATGGGCTCAATGCAGTGTGCAGAATAATTTGGGCTCCAGCCTTTCACCTCTCAACCAATTATTCTTTCCTGTGAAATTTTGAGAACTGTTAGGGATGCAATGGGGTTCACAATACCGGTATTTGGTAATACTGTCAAGGGACACTCCTCCCTACCATGTTCCTTCCCACATGATGGTTTTCCCCCTCTCTCCCAATAGCTCTTCTATTCTTTTTTCAAGTCCCTTGTGGGCAAGGATGTGGTCGTGGAACTCAAGAATGACCTGAGGTAGGTACCTGTTCCAACAAGTCTGTTGGGGGTGGGTGTGCCCAGGGCCCTGGAACCTCTTTAATTTGAGAAATATTTGAGGGCTGGGTGAGGTGGAATATGTACAGAGGAAATAAATGGCCGGGTGCGGTGGCTCACGCCTGTAATCTCAGCACTTTGGGAGGCTGAGGTGGGCGGATCACGAGGTCAGGAGATCAAGACCATCCTGGCTAACACGGTGAAACCCTGTCTCTACTAAAAATACAAAAAATTAGCCAGGCATGGTGGCAGGCGCCTGTAGTCCCAGCTACTTTGGAGGCTGAGGCAGGAGAATGGCGTGAACCTGGGAGGCAGAGCTTGCAGTGAGCCCAGATCACGCCACTGCACTCCAGCCTGGGTGACAGAGCGAGGCTCTGTCTCAAACAAACAAAAGAAATAAATGGGTGGGGTGCAGTGGCTCACGCCTGTAATCCCAGCACTTTGGGAGGCTGAGGAGGGAGGATTGCTTGAGCCCAGGAGTTTGAGGCTGCAGTGAGCAGTGATTACTCCATTGCACTCTAGCCAGGGCAATAGAGCAAGACCCCATCTCTAAGACAAATTTTAAAATTTAACAATAAATAAATGCCTTGTGCCTTAAATTTACAGATAAGCTTGGGGATTGTATTGTGTATTGGAAAACAATACAAAGCAATATACAGTTTAAAGAGTAAATACTGGTCAGGTGTGGTGGCTCATGGGCTGGACGTGTGGCTCATGCCTGTAATCCCAGCACTTTGGGAGGCCGAGGTGGGTGAATCACGAGGTCAGGAGTTCAAGACCAGTCTGGCCAAGATGGTGAAACCCCGTCTCTACTAAAAATACAAAAATTAGCCAGGCATGGTGGCAGGTGCCTGTAATCCCAGCTACTTGGGAGGCTGAGGCAGGAAAATCGCTTGAACCTGGGTGGCAGAGGTTGCAGTGAGCTGAGATTACGCCACTGCACTCCAGCCTGGGTGACAGAGTGAGACTCTGTCTCAAAAAAAATAAATAAAGAGTAAGTACTAGGCTGGCCATGGTGGCTCACACCTGTAATCTCAGCACTTTGGGAGGCTGAGGCAGGAGGATCACTTGAGTCCAGGATGTCGAGACTAGCCTGGGCAACATAGAACCATTTCTATAAAAGATTAGCCAGATGTGGTTTACATGCCTGTAGTCCCAGCTATTCGGGAGACTGAGGTGGGAGGATCACTTGAACCCAGGAGGTCGAGGCTGCAGTGAGCCATGATTGTACCACTTTACTCCAGCCTGGGTGACAGAGGAAGACTGTATCAAAAAAGAACAGGCCAGGCCAGGCGCAGTGGCTCACGCCTGTAATCCCAGCACTTTCGGAGGCCGAGGTGGGCGGATCACGAGGTCAGGAGATTGAGACCATCCTGCCTAACATGGTGAAACCCCATCTCTACTAAAAATACAAAAAATTAGCCTGGTGTGGTGGCGGGCGCCTGTAGTTCCAGCTACTTGGGAGGCTGAGGCAGGAGAATGGCATGAACCCAGGAGGTGGAGCTTGCAGTGAGCCAAGATGGCACCACTGCACTCCAGCCTGGGCGACCAGAGCGAGACTCCATCTCAAAAAAATAAACAAAAAAACAGAACAGGCCATAGGCTGGGCATGGTGGCTCATGCCTGTAATCCCAGCACTTTGGGAGGCTGAGGTGGGTGGATCACAAGGTCAAGAGATTGAGACCAGCCTGGCCAACATGGTGAAACCTACGTATTAGATATGCTACTGTGTATCTAATACCTAGTATAGGCCAGTTGTATGATAGGTGCTTAAGGAAAGAAAAATAATATCTGAAGACCTATTGACTAAGCACTATTCTGAATACATTTATTGATTGATTTCTCAAACACTCCTAAGTAATATGTACTATTGCTGTTATACATATGAGGAAACTGAGGCTTAGATCAGCTATACCACTTGTTCAAGTCTACAAAACTAGTAAGTGATACAGAACAGAAATATGATTATGTCCAGCTTTTTTTTTCTTTTTCTTTTTTCTTTTTTTTTTTTTTGAGATAGTCTCGCTCTGTCGCCCAGGCTGGAATGCAGTGGTGTGATCTCTGCTCACTGTAAGCTCTGCCTCCCGGGTTCATGCCATTCTCCTGCCTCAGCCTCCCCAGCAGCTGGAACTATAGGCGCCTGCCACCACACCTGGCTAATTTTTGTATTTTTAGTAGAGACGGGGTTTCACCGTGTTAGCCAGGATGGTCTCGATCTCCTGACCTTGTGATCCGCCTGCCTCGGCCTCCCAAAGTGCTGGGATTACAGGCGTGAGCCACTGCGCCTGGTTTTTTTTTTTTTTTTTTTGAGATGGAGTCTCTGTCACCTACGCTGGAGTGCAGTGGCGCGATCTCGGCTCACTGCAGCCTCCGCTTCCTGGGCTGAAGCAATTCTCTGCCTCAGCCTCCCGAGTAGCTGTGATTACAGGCGTCCACCACTATGCCTAGCTAATTCTTGTATTTTTAGTGGAGAAGGGGTTTCACCATCTAGGCTAGGCTGGTCTTGAACTCTTGACCTTGTGATCCACCCGCCTTGGCCTCCCAAAGTGATGGGATTACAGGTGTGAGCCACTGCACCTAGTCCTATTTTCTTTCTTAAAATAATATTTATTTATTTAAAAATTAGAGACAGTGTCTCGCTTTGTTACTCAGGCTGGTTTCAAACTCTTGAGTTCAAGCAATCCTCTTGCTTCAGCTTTCCGAAGTGCTGGGGTTACAGGCATGAGCCAGCATGCCTGGCCCTGTACTTATCTGTACAGTCCTTTAAATGATATGTACATTTAGGCCAGATGCAGTGGCCCACACCTGTAATCCCAGCACTTTGGGAAGTCAAGGCGGGCAGATGCCTGAGGTCAGGAGTTTGAGACCAGCTTGTCCAACATGGTGAAACCCCCATCTCTACTAAAAATACAAAAATCAGCCAGGCGTGGTGTTGTGTGCCTGTAATCCCAGCTGTTCGGGAGGCTGATGCAGGAGAATTGCTTGAACCCAGAAGGCGGACGTTGTAGTGAGCTGAGATCAGGCCACTGCACTCCAGCCTGGGCGACAGACTGAGACTCCATCTCAAAAAAAAAAAAAAAAAAAGTACATTTAAAATATTGATACCTATTATCTCGTTATCCTTTAGAAAGATGGGGTCAATTGTATTCTCTTCCCAAAAGTGTCTTCCACATTTATTTTTTTGAGATGGGGGTCTCACTGTGTTGTCCAGGCTGGAGTGTAATGGCACAGTCATAGCTCATTCAGCCTCCTGAATAGGTGGGGCTACATGCCACCACGCCCAGCTAATTTTTTAATTATTTGGAGAGGCAGAGTCTCACTGTGTTGCCCAGGCTGGTCTCAAACTCTTGGGCTCAAGCAGTCCTGCCACCTTGGCCTCCCAAAGTGCTGGAATTACAGGCATGTGCCATGTGCCTGGTTGTCTTCCACATTTCTATGTGATTTAATTTCTTCGTGGGTTACACGTTGACATGGCAGGGAATGGTGAGGAGAGGAACTTAAGGGCCGTTGCATTTTAGAACAGAGGTTTCCGTTTGTGGCACTGGCCATGCAGGTGGTATCGATGTGTATAGATTGGGGACACAGAGCAAGACAAGTATGGAAATCACTGGCAGTCTTAGGCAATTTGGTGTGATGACTTGTTTTTGATTCTCTTCTCCTTACTGGGCCTTTTATTTGGGAAGCCTGACTGTTGTGTTATAACCCTAGGCCCTAAAATACCTTTTTTTTTTTTTTTGAGACAGATTCGTGCCCTGTCACCCAGGCTGGAGTGCAATGATGCGATCTCGGCTCACTGCAACCTCCGCCTACTGGGTTCAAGCAATTCTCCAGACTCAGCCTCCCTGGTAGCTGGGATTACAGGCACACGCCACCACGCCTGGTTAATTTTTTGTATCTTTAGTAGAGACAGGGTTTCACCATGTTAGTCAGGCTAGTCTCCAACTCCTGACCTCGTGATCTGCCTGCCCCAGCCTCCCAAAGTACTGGAATCCCAGATATGAGCCACCGTGCCCGGCCCCAGTAACATTTCTTTTTCTTTTTTTCCTTTTTTTTTTTTTTTTCCCCCGAGACGAGTCTCACTCTGTCGCCAGGCTGCAATGGCACTATCTCAGCTCACTGTAACCTCCGACTCCCTGGTTCAAGTGATTATCCTGCCTCAGCCTCCCGAGTAGCTGGCATTATACGCATGCACCACCACGCCCAGCTAATCTTTGTATTTTTAGTAGAGAAGGGGGTTTCACTATGTTGGCCAGGATGGTCTTGATCTCCTGACTTGTGATCTACCCACCTTGGCCTCCCAAAGTACTGGAATTACAGGAGTGAGCCACCGTGCCCAGCCTTCTTTTTTTTCTATTTTTGTTTGAGACGTGGTCTCACTTTGTCGCCCAGGTTGGAGTGCAGTGGCGCGATCTCGGCTCACTGCAACCTCTGCTGTCCAGGTTCAAGTGATTCTCCTGCCTCAGTCTCCCAAGTAGCTGGGATTATAGGCGCCTGCCACCATACCTAGCTAATTTGTGTATTTTTTTTTTTTTTGAGACGGAGTCTCGCTGTGTCGCCAGGCTGGAGTGCAGTGGCCGGATCTCAGCTCACTGCAAGCTCCGCCTCCCGGGTTCACGCCGTTCTCCTGCCTCAGCCTCCCGAGTAGCTGGGACTACAGGCGCCCGCCACCTCGCCCGGCTAGTTTTTTGTATTTTTTAGTAGAGACGGGGTTTCACCGTGTTAGCCAGGATGGTCTCGATCTCCTGACCTCGTGATCCACCCGTTTCGGCCTCCCAAAGTGCTGGGATTACAGGCTTGAGCCACCGTGCCCAGCCCAATTTGTGTATTTTTAGTAGACTTGGGGTTTCACCATCTTCGTCAGGCTGGTCTTGAATTCCTGACCTCATGATCCACCCGCCGCAGCCTCCCAAAGTGCTGGGATTACAGACGTGAGCCACTGCACTTGGCCTTTTTATATTAATTTTTAAAATTTTCATAGAGACAGGGTCTTGGCCATGTTGCCCAGGCTGGTCTTGAACTCTTGGACTCAAGTGATCCTCCCACCTCAGCCTCCCAAAGTGCAGTGACTACAGGTGTGAGCCAACACGTATGTGGCTCTAAAGTGACTTTTCTGTTGGGATGAGAAAGAAGATCTTTCTCCTTTTTTTTGCTTAAGACAGGGTCTCACTCTGATGCCCAGGCTGGAGCGCAGTGGTGCGATCTTGGCTCACTGCAACCTCTGCCTCCCAGGTTCAAATGATTCTTCCACCTCAGCATCCTGAATAGCTGGGATTACAGGTGCACACCACCACTCCCAGCTAATTTTTTTGTATTTTTAGTGGAGATGGGGTTTCACCATGTTGGCCAGCTTGGTCTCAAACTCCTGACCTCAAGTGATCCTCCCGCCTCGGCCTCCCAAACCAGGTGTGAGCCACCACGCCTGGCCAAAAGTTCTTTCTCTTATGCTTGCTGTCAGACCACTTTTGTGCTATGTATTTCCTCCTCCTTAAGGGACTTAATAAAAAGACACCACGGCCGATCGCAGTGGCTCACGCCTGTAATTCCAGCACTTTGGGAGGCTGAGGCGGGTGGATCACGAGGTCAGGAGATTGAGACCATCCTGGCTAACACGGTGAAACCCCGTCTCTACTAAAAATACAAAAAATTAGCTGGGCATGGTGGTGGGTGCCTGCAGTCCCAGCTACTCGGGAGGCTGAGGCAGGACAATTGCTGGAACTTGGGAGGCGGAGCTTGCAGTGAGCCAAGATCGTGCCACTGCACTCCAGCCTGGGCGACAGAGAGAGACTCCGTCTCAAAAAAAAAAAAAAAAGACACCACTTTGTGCCATTCCTAAATGTTATTTCACTAATGGAGATGGTGGGGTGCTGTCACATGTTTTTCAGCAGCCAGCAATATGGTGAGAACATGACTGAGGCAGTGGGTTTGAGATACTGGGTGTTTGTTTTTGTTTTTAGGCAGACTCACCCTCTATCTCAAAAAATAATAATGATTGCCCAGTATTGTACTAGTTCATTTAAATTAATTTCTATAGCATATTTAGGTGGGTCTTTCTTTTATTTTTTTTTATTTTTTTTTTTGAGACAGAGTCTCTCTCTGTCGGCTGGAGTGCAGTGATCTCAGCTCACTGCAAGCTCTGCCCCCCGGGTTTACGTCTTTCTCCTGCCTCAGCCTCCCGAGTAGCTGGGACTACAGGTGCCTGCCACCTCGCCCGGCTAGTTTTTTGTATTTTTTAGTAGAGACGGGGTTTCACCGTAGCTAGGATGGTCTCGATCTCCTGACCTCGTGATCTGCCCATCTCGGCCTCCCAAAGTGCTGGGATTACAGGCTTGAGCCACCGCGCCCGGCCGCTTCTTTTTTTTTTTTTTTTTTTGAGACAGAGCCTTACTCTGTCGCCCAGGCTGGAATGCAGTGGCGTGATCTTGGCTCACTGCAACCTCTACTTCCTGTATTCAAGTGATTCTCGTGCCTCAGCCTCCTGTATAGTGAGGACTACAGGCGTGCACCACACACAGCTAATTTTTGTATTTTTATATTTAGTTTAAAATTTTTTTTTTCTTTTCCTTCTGGGTTCGAGTGATTCTCATGCCTCACCTCCTGAGTAGCTGGGATTATAGGTACACACCACAATGCCCGGCTAATTTGTTTTGTTTTGTTTTGTTTTGTTTTTTTGAGACAGAGTCTGGCTCTGTCGCCCAGGCTGGAGTGCAGTGGTAGGATCTCGGCTCACTGCAAGCTCCGCCTCCCGGGTTCAAGCGATTCTCCTGCATCAGCCTCCTGAGTAGCTGGGACTATAGGTGCATGCCACCACGCCTGGCTAATTTTTTGTATTTTTAGTAGAGACAGGGTTTCACAGTGCTAGCCAGGATGGTCTTGATCTCCTGACCTTGTGATCTGCCCGCTTCGGCCTCCCAAAGTGCTGGGATTACAGGCATGAGCCACCGCACCCGGACAATTTTTATATTTTTAGTAGAGATGAGGATTTGCCGTGTTGGCCAGGCTGGTCTGAAAGTCCTGGCTTCAAGTGATCCGCCCACCCTGGCCTCTTAAAGTGCTAGAATTATAGGCGTGAGCCACTGTGCATGGCCTGGACGCTGGGTTTTAAAGACTTTCAGAATTTTAACAAAAATTGGAGTCCCAACAGAGAACTGCTAACTTTATTTTTGGCAAGATAAGGACATTTTTAAAACTGCTATTTATTATGATTATTTTTATTTATTTATTTATTTTGAGATGGAGTCTCACTCTGTCACCTGGGCTGGAGTGCAGTGGCTCGATCTCGGCTCACTGCAACCTCCGCCTACCTGGTTCAAGTGATTCTCCTGCTTCAGTCTCCCGCGTAGCTGGGATTACAGGCGTCCGCCACTATGCCCAGCTAATTTTTTGTATTTTTAGTAGAGATAGGGTTTCACGATGTTGGCCAGGCTGGTCTCGAACACCTGACCTCGTGATTCACCCGCCTCAGCCTCCCAAAGTGCTGCGACTATAGGCGTGAGCCACCATGCCCGGACACAATTATTTTATTTTATAACTTTAGAGATGAAGTCTTGCTGTGTTGTCTGGACTGTTCTGCAGCTGGCTTCAAGCGATCCTCCTGCCTCAGCCTCCCAAAGTGCTGGGATTACAGGCTTGAGCAACGGTGCCCAGCCAAAGGGTGTTTTTTTAAATTTTTGCACCATTCTCTCAAAGAGCGCTGGTGTTTTGATAGCATTCCTCAAATAGCATTTTAAGGGGCTCGAGGATTGGAGAATGGAGAGGACATCACTCGTGCCTGGATCATCAAGAGTAATGCTGCCGCCGGGCACGGTGGCTCAAGCCTGTAATCCCAGCACTTTGGGAGGCCGAGACGGGTGAATCACCAGGTCAGGAGTTTGAGACCAGCCTGGCTAACACGGTGAAACCCCGTCTCTACTAAAAAATACAAAAAACTAGCCGGGCGAGGTGGCAGGCGCCTGTAGTCCCAGCTACTCGGGAGGCTGAGGCAGAAGAATGGCGTAAACCCGGGAGGCGGAGCTTGCAGTGAGCTGAGATCCGGCCACTGCACTCCAGCCTCGGCAACAGAGCGAGACTCCGTCTCAAAAAAAAAAAAAAAAAAAACAGTAATGCCGCCTACCTTTATCTACATATGGGGCTCTGGTTCCAAAGCAATAAATGTTTGAAAATAGCTAGCCTGGGCGACATTCACAGTGAGACCCTTTCTCTACAAAAAAAAAAAAAAAAAAAAAATCAGCTGGCCATGGTGGCTCACGCCTGTAATCATAGCTACTCAAGTGGCCGCAATAAACCATGATCACGCCATTTCACTCCAGCCTGGGTCACAGAGTGAGACCCTGTCTCAAAAAAAAAAAAAAAAAGCTGATGGTTTTGGGAGTCAGACAGACTTGGACTGAAGTTCCTGTTTGTTCTAAACTCAGAAAGTTTAAAACAACCTCTCTTAGCCCCTAAGGTAGTAACTACTTCAAAAGATGCTGTAAAGATTACAAATACTATATAGAACACACGTCTAGCCTTTACCAGTTGTTTAATGGTAGCTATGAAGAATAGGTTGGTTTGGCCGGGCATAGTGGTTCACACCTGTAATCCCAGCACTTTGGGAAGCTGAGGTGGGCAAATTGCCTGAGGTCAGGAGTTAAAGACCAGCCTGGCCAACATGGTGAAACCCCATCTCTACTAAAAATAAAAAATTAGCCGGGCATGATGGCGTGCGCCTGAAGTCCTAGCTACTCAGGAGGCTGAGGCAGGAGAATCACTTGAACCTGGGAAGCTGAGGTTGCAGTGAGCCAAGATCACACCACTGCACTTCAGCCTGGGCGACAGTGAGACTCCATTTCAAAAAAAAAAAAAGGGGGCCGGGCACGGTGGCTCACGCCTGTAATCCCTCCCAGCACTTTGGGAGGCCGAGGCGGGCAGATCACGAGGTCAGGAGATTGAGACCATCCTGGCTAACGTGCTGAAACCCTGTCTCTACTAAAAATGCAAAAAAATTAGCTGGGCGTGGTGGTGAGGGCCTGTAGTCCTAGCTACTCCAGAGGCTGAGGCAGGAGAATGGCATGAACCCGGGAGGCGGAGCTTGCAGTGAGCTGAAATCGTGCCAGTGGACTCCAGCCTGGGTGACAGAGCAAGACTCCGTCTCAAAAAAAAAACGGCGCGGTGGCTCATGCCTGTAATCCCAGCACTTTGGGAGGCCAAGGCGGGTGGATCACGAGGTCAGGAGATCGAGACCACGGTGAAACCCCGTCTCTGCTACAAACACAAAAAATTAGCAGGACGCCTGTAGTCCCAGTTACTCGGGAGGCTGAGGCAGGAGACTGGTGTGAACCCAGGAGGTGGAGCTTGCAGTGAGCTGAGATCGTGCGTGCCACTGTACTCCAGCCTAGGTGACAGAGCGAGACTCCGTCTCAAAAAAAAAAAAAAAAAGAAAATTGGATTGGTTTAGGGAGAGGAGATGTCGGGATGTCGGGTTGAAAATAAACTACTCTGTTAGCCGTCTTTCCTACTCCAGGGCTTAGGAATTTCCCCTTTTGGTTGTACCTTTTTCTGACTTCAAGTCCTTGACTTCTCCCAGTCATGTTCTCATCCCAGCTCTGAAGTCACCTCTATGTTGACTTTGTTATAAACTAATTTGATTCTTCTCTCCCTCTGCCCTTGACAGCATCTGTGGAACCCTCCATTCTGTGGATCAGGTGAGATATAGTAAAGGCCCAGAATTGGTTCCTGGGGAAGGAGAGGGTTGGGTTCTTACATCATGTCTCTAGGGTTAATAATGGTGTTATTCGGCCAGGTGTGGTGGCTCATGCCTATAGTCCCAGCACGTTGAGAGGCCGAGGCCTGAGGTCAGGAGTTAAAGACAAGCCTGACCAACATGGTGAAACCCTGTCTCTACTAAAAATACAAAAAATTAGCCGGGCATTGTGGCGCATCCCTATAATCCCAGCTACTCCAGAGAGGCTGAGGCAGGAAAATCGCTTGAGCCCAGGAGGCGGAGGTTGCAGTGAGCCAAGATGGTGCCCTTGCACTCCAGCCTGGGCAACAAGAGCAAAACTCTGTCTCAATAAATAAATAAATAAATAATAATGGTGTTCATCTTCCTTTCCTAGTATCTCAACATCAAACTAACTGACATCAGTGTCACAGACCCTGAGAAATATCCTCACATGGTAAGTTGGGGTCTGTGGAGAAGAGGAAATAAAGCAGGAGGCCTCTGGGTGGTTAGAGGACATTTTTAAGGGTGTTTTCACATTTGTCCATCTTTGTCTAGTTATCAGTGAAGAACTGCTTCATTCGGGGCTCAGTGGTCCGATATGTGCAGCTGCCAGCAGACGAGGTCGACACACAGTTGCTGCAGGATGCGGCAAGGAAAGAAGCCCTGCAGCAGAAACAGTGATGGCTCCTCCTCCTCTTCCCCTCCCTCTTTTATTGGTGACCTGTAACCCCAAGTCCCAGCCCAGAACCCCTAACCCCGAATACTTGAAGGGGTTTTGTTTTTTTACTAATGATGGTTTTGTGGGTTTTTTTTAAGGGATGAGTGGATGAGAGGAATAATAGGGAACAGCTATCCTCTCTTGAGAAGGGGAGGATAAGTAGGCTGGGAAACTTCAAAGCCTTCCCAGTCCCCAGCACCTGCCTTTCTCACTACTTCCCTGGAGATGGTAGGAGAGTTTCCTAGGTCTTTCCAGGGCAGCATGTGATTCATTTGGGGATGGAAGGAATCTGTCCCGCATCGGGAATAAAATTTATGATGCAAATTCGTGTTTTGGTTCTGTTACTGTGTGTTGGGCAGGGTGCTGGGATGTGGAAAAGGATGTCAAATTCATCCAAGTCCCTGTTACTCTCCATTAACCCAGCCAAGAATCCAACTCAGCTTCCCACTACTCTCCTTGGTATAAAGCATATAATACAGTTGCTGTTCACCATGTTTCCCCAACATGCCCCTACCTGCATGTTCTCCCTCTGGCCTTTTGCTTATACCATACCTGCAACTGGAGTGCTTGGTGTCCTTCCATTAATGTGACAGTGTTATAAGATGCACTTCATGCTACCAGACTTCGCCAATCCAACCAAATCAGTACATGTTTTCTGAATATGTACAGAAGATAAATACAAGTGATGTAATTTATATTTTGGAGAAAAGTTGTGACTGGGAATTACTAAACTTCACTCATTCAGCAAAGAGTTCATGATAACAGATGAGACTTCTCAGCCTTAAGGGACCGTTAGAGACCATCTAGCATGACCCTCCTTTTCTTGTTTTTGAGATGGGAGTCTTGCTCTGTCGCCCAGGGTGGAGTGCACTGGTGTGGTCTGGCTCACTGCAACCTCCGCCTCCTGGTTCAAGTGATTCTCCTGCCTCAGCTCCGAGTAGCTGGGATTACAGATGCCCACCACCATGCCCGGCTAATTTTTTTTTTTTTTTTTGAGATGGAGTCTCACTCTGTCACCCAGGCTGGAGTGCAGTGGTATGATCTTAGTTCACTGCAATCTCCGCTTCCAGGTTCAAGTGATTTTCTTGCCTCAGCCTCCCAAGTAGCTGGGATTACAGGTGTGTGCCACCACACCTGGCTAATTTTTGTATTTTTACAAATACTCCAGCTCTGTCTCCAAGCTGGAGTGCAGTGGCACCATCTTGGCTCATTGCAATCTCCACCTCCAGGGTTCAAGCAATTCCCTGCCTCAGGCTCCGGGGTAGCTGGGATTACAGGCGCCCGCCACCACGCCTGGCTAATTTTTGTATTTTTAGTAGAGATGGGGTTTCACCACCTTGGCCTGGCTGGTCTTGAACTCCTGACCTTGTGATCCACCCGCCTCGGCCTCCCAGAGTGCTGGGATTACAGGCATGAGACGGGCTTTCACCATCTTGGCCAGGCTGGTCTGGAACTTTTGACCTCAGGTGATCCGCCCGCCTTGGCCTCCCAAAGTCCTGGGATTGATTATAGGCGTGAGCCACCGCGCCCGGCCGTCACCCTTTTCTCATACATGAGGAGATGAGGCTCAAAGAGGAAGCTGGACGCCAGGGCCTCGGCAAATGGACCTCCCCTTCGGTCCTCATCAGGCTGCTCCCTCCTGGGCTCTTCCCCGATACCGGGTGGGGAACGCTCTCCACCTGCAGGGCCAGCTGACCCTCTTGGGCCAGTTCCCTAGCTGCCCGCTGGGCGCCGCCCTAGCCACCCGGCCCGAGGACCCGCGCAAGGTGCCCGTGGCGGCGCCTGACGGGAGCGCGGTGCCCGGGGGCGTCCTCTCGTCCTGCGTCCGCGCCCAGCGCCCCGCGCCCTGCGCTGTTCCTCGTGAGAGCGGCTGGCGGCTGGCGGCGGGCGGCGGGCGGCGCGGCCCCCGGGGCAGTGTCGGACACGGTGGTGCGCGTACACGCAGGCGGGGCCAGGCCGCCCCCGCCAGGACCCGCAGGCCCGGAAACTCTCCCTGTCACAAAGGGGGGAACACGTGGGCGCCGGCTGCCGGGGCGGCGATCTCAGGGAACTAGGGTCACCTGGAGAGCCGCCCACCATCTCTGCCCGCTCGACTCCTCCGCCCCGGCCGCCCGGCCGGTCCAGCCGCGGCCGGCGCCTGGCTGTGAGGTGGATTCCCGGTCCAGTCTTACCATCTCCCTCCAGTACGTACACGCGGCTCGAACCCGCGTCCAACCAGACGCCGACCGGCTCCTGAGAGTCTTCCACACTCCCCGAAGCCTCGCGATCATGGATAGTCCCTCTTCCCCTACTGTCACTGCTCCTCTGAGAGCCAGGTCTTTGGCTCCTGACAGCCTGCCTGGTCAGACCCTCAGTCCTGGGGGACTCGGGTGTCTGCGGCGGAGGAGCTCCTGTGAGGGTCCCCTCTCTACTCAAATATAGGACCCACCTGGATCCCTCAGTCATCCCCTGTCTCTGTTTCTTCTTAGGTTTTTCTACTTCGTTCGGACCCTCTCATAACTATGTCCATCCTCTACGTCTCCCCTCACCCAGATGCCTTCCCCAGCCTCCGAGCCCTCATAGCCGCTCGCTATGGGGAGGCTGGGGAGGGTCCCGGATGGGGAGGAGCCCACCCCCGCATCTGTCTCCAGCCGCCCCCGACTAGCAGGACTCCCTTTCCCCCACCCCGCCTGCCGGCCCTGGAGCAGGGGCCCGGTGGACTCTGGGTGTGGGGGGCCACGGCTGTGTCCCAGTTGCTGTGGCCTGCAGGCCTGGGAGGCCCAGGGGGCAGCCGGGCTGCTGTCCTCGTCCAACAGTGGGTCAGTTACGCCGACACGGAGTTAATACCAGCTGCCTGTGGAGCAACGCTGCCGGCCCTGGGCCTCCGAAGCTCGGCCCAGGACCCCCAGGTGAGGGGGTTGTACAGAGGGGGAGGGGAGAAATTCAGAGGAGGGAAGCGAGGACTGGAATGGACAGTGAGACAAGAAGGTAGCACATCAGATGTGGGAAAAGAGTGATCAAATCCCAGATTGCCAACCGGTATGGTAACCCTGGGCACGCTTCATAAACCCGCTGTGTCTTGGTCGTCCTATGTCTATGAACACACAGGCAAGTTGATGTAATGCTTGCCTCACTGAGTTAATAGGATTAAAAGATGTGCGCAGAGCACATAGTTTAGTGCCGGGCACTTTTAAAGTCTCTTAGTAAAAGTTTGATGAGTCTGAAATTGATGAGGATAGAAATTATTTGAATTGCAGGAAAAGACTGGGTGAGGGAGAGATGACAATTGCTGGGAGGAGATAAAAGAGAAATGAAATGAGGAAGGGAAGTGAGAGGAGAGATAACCCTGCCAGATTGTAACTATCAGTCCTTCCAAAGGAGACCTGAGCCTTGGTGTTCTTTCAACTCCACCTCCTTGCATGGTGTTGAGCACATGATAGGAAATTAGTATTTATTGAATGCATGAATGAATGCGACAGACCCTGACTTGCTCCCTCATGTTGTGATCACCCTATAGAGTCCTTACATTCAGAATGTCTGTCCAAACAAACAAATAAAATAGAGTTCCTCTCTCCTGGAATTCCCTGTTCCCCTCTTTTTTTTCTTTTCTTTTCTTTTTTTTTTTTTTAGACTGAGTCTCCTTCTGTTGCCCAGGCTGGAATGCCATGGTGCGATCTCAGCTCACTGCTCAAGTGATTCTCCTGCCTCAGCGTTCTGAGTAGCTGGGATTACAGGCGCTTGCCACCTCGCCTGGCTAATTTTTTGTGTTTTTAGTGGAGATGGGGTTTTGTCATGTTGACCAGGGTCTTGAACTCCTAACCTCAGATTGTCTGCTCGCCTCGGCCTCCCAAAATGCTGAGATTACAGGCGTGAGCCACGGCGCCCGGCCCCTGTTCCCCTCATTCTGCTTTATTTTTCTTCATAGGAGTTAAGAAAAATATGGCATGGGTTTTTTTTGGTTTTTTTTTGTTGTTGTTGTTGAGACGGAGTCTCGCTCTGTTGCCCAGGCTGGAGTACAGTGGCATGATCTCAGCTCAATGCAAGCTCCATCTCCCGGGTTCACGCCATTCTCCTGCCTCAGCCTCCCTAGTAGCTGGGACTACAGGTGCCTGCCACCATGCCCGGCCGATTTTTTTGCATTTTTAGTAGAAGCAAGGTTTCTCCCTGTTAGCCAGGATGGTCTCGATCTCCTGACCTCATGATCCCCCCGCCTCAGCCTCCCAAAGTGCTGGGATTACAGGCGTGAGCCACCAGGCCCGGCCCTAGCACTGCATTTTATATTCGCTCATTTGTTGTTCCCCTACAAGAATGTTAACTCTACCAGGTCAGGGCTCTGTCTATCTGTTCGTGTTGTCCTCTCATTCCCTGGAGAAGTACTTAAATATTTATTGATGTCCTGAACCTGGCAGTTATTGAGTTGCCTCATATAATCTTTACTTCTATGCTTAACATATTGCATCTAACACATAAGTATTGAGTTTCATTTGCTGGATGAGTCAGAAGTATTTTTATTATGACTACTTGAGTGAAGAAATGGGACTCAGAGGTGGTGATTTGTTGGAGTGGGGTGGAGGGAGGCCAAAAGGAGGGTTGTGGTGGGAGATGGAGGCGGGCCAAACCTTGTCTCACACCTCTTCCCCTTCCTGCCAGGCTGTGCTGGGGGCCCTGGGCAGGGCCTTGAGCCCCTTGGAGGAGTGGCTTCGGCTGCACACCTACTTGGCCGGGGAGGCCCCTACTCTGGCTGACCTGGCGGCTGTCACAGCCTTGCTGCTGCCTTTCCGATACGTGAGTCACCAGGCCTGGGGAAGAACAAGACTGCTCCCCTCAAACCTCACTATAGGGTGACTGAGAATAGTCATTTATTTCGTGTTCCAGGTCCTAGACCCACCTGCCCGCCGGATCTGGAATAATGTGACTCGCTGGTTTGTCACGTGTGTCCGGCAGCCAGAATTCCGAGCGGTGCTGGGAGAAGTAGTTCTATACTCAGGGGCCAGGCCTCTCTCTCATCAGCCAGGTGAGGCAGGGTGAGGAGTTGGAGGATAGGGGCTTCCATGGGGCCTTCCATGCAACTCACTTTCTTTTTTTCATAGAAATGGCAGAATCACTGGGGCAGGGTCCTGCGGGAGAGGAGGGGGAGGGGGGAGGCCAGCATGGGCGAGACCTCGGGCATCTGAAATAGCCCATCTGAAACCTAGTAGTGCCATCCAAGAGGGTCCCCAGCTGGCTGAGTCTGAATTTCTGTGCTTCTCTCTAGGCCCCGAGACTCCTGCCCTCCCAAAGACAGCTGCTCAGCTCAAGAAAGAGGCAAAGAAACGGGAGAAGCTAGAGAAATTCCAACAGAAGCAGAAGATCCAACAGCAGCAGCCACCTGCAGGGGAGGTGAGAGGCGAGGGTGGAGCTGGAAGGAAAGTTGCTGTGTGCAGTGATGGGGTGGCTGATGCCTGGGCCTATGTCTTCTCCCTCCCAAGCAGAAGAAACCAAAACCAGAGAAGAGGGAGAAACGGGATCCTGGGGTCATTACCTATGACCTCCCAACCCCACCCGGGGAAAAGAAAGGTACTAGGAGTGGGAAGGGGCTCACCTCTCAGCAGCCCCTTCCAAGTTTTCACCCTATCTTGCTCTGTTCTTGCTCTCACCACTTTGTTTGGTGAGGATTTACAGACCCCCTCCCCTGCCCCTAGGCCCCTCAAATGCTTGTCCTACGATGTAAGCGACATTCAGAGAGGGAGATCCTGATCCCTCTCTGCCAGCCCGTCTCCTTCCTGGTGCTCTCAGCCACGCACTGAGCCCTCCCTTCCTCTCCCCCAGATGTCAGTGGCCCCATGCCCGACTCCTACAGCCCTCGGTATGTGGAGGCTGCCTGGTACCCTTGGTGGGAGCAGCAGGGCTTCTTCAAGCCAGAGTATGGGGTGAGTGGGCACTGCTGCCCAGGCCCAGAGTGGGTGGGGTGGGGAAGGGCAGGACTGAAGGACGTGTTGCCTGGGAGGGGCTGGGAGAGGTGACCTGAGGCCTTAAACATGTGCCATCCTTCTCCACCATCAGCGTCCTAATGTGTCAGCAGCAAATCCCCGAGGTGTCTTCATGATGTGCATCCCACCCCCCAACGTGACAGGCTCCCTGCACCTGGGCCATGCGCTCACCAACGCCATCCAGGACTCCCTGACTCGATGGTGAGCTCCTATCCGCACCTCCCTCTGGTTCCCTCTGCCTCATCTGGCTCTCTCCTCTTGGCTGACAGCCCCCCAGCCTCTCTCCTTCTGGGTTGGTGCTTACCTCTGCCCCCAGAGGCGCTACACTTCTCTCTCTCATTCCCATCTGATCATTTAGCTTCCTCTCCTAGTCCAGTACTCCCATGCAACACTGCCACTTGCAGACTCTCTTCTCTCCCTTCTTTCTTTATTTAATTTTAATTTAAGTTAATTTAAATTTTTGTGAAGATGGGTTTTCACTTTGTTGCTCAGTCTGGTCTCCAGGTCAAGTGATTCTCCTGCCTCAGCCTCCCAGGGTGCTGGAATTATAGGTGTGAGGCACCACACCCAGCCTATCCCTTCTTTTTCTAGTAACAATAACATTATTTTGAATTTAATTAAAAAATATATATATATATATATTTTTTTTTTTTGGAGACAGAGTCTTGTTCTGTTGCCCAGGCTGGAGTGCAGTGACACCATCTTGGCTCATGGCAACCTCCGCCTCCTGGGTTCAAGTGATTCTCCTGCCTCAGCCTCCCAAGTAGCTGGGATTACAGGAATCTGCCACCGCAACTGACCAAAATATATGAATATATTCTTTTTTTTTTTTTTTTTGAGACAGAGTCTCGCTCTGTCGCCCAGGTTGGAGTGCAGTGACCGGATCTCAGCTCACTGCAAGCTCCCCCTCCCGGGTTTACACCATTCTCCTGCCTCAGCCTCCTGAGGAGCTGGGACTACAGGCGCCCGCCACCTCGCCCGGCTAGTTTTTTGTATTTTTTAGTAGAGACGGGGTTTCACCGTGTAGGCCAGGATGGTCTCGATCTCCTGACCTCGTGATCCGCCCGTCTCGGCCTCCCAAAGTGCTGGGGTTACAGGCTTGAGCCACCATGCCCGGCCTATGAATATATTCTTATAAGAAATTTAAATTTTCAAATCCCCTTGACCACCCCCCCACACCTACTTCCTCCCAAGATTTAGCCATTGTTATCACTTTGATGTGTATCTTTCCAGATCTTTCCTATTTACTTACATATACATGTACCCATAGAAATTTATAGTTCTCCTTTTGGGTGAGTCTTTTCTATATTTTAACATAAAGGGTTCACATTACACATGTTATGCGCTAGCTTTCTTCTTACACTTAACACTTTCTCTTGGAGATCTTTCCTTGTCCTTACACACATACCACACATACTGACTTCCTTCTTTTTCATTGTTCCATAATATCCCATAGTGTGGCTATACCATAGTGAAGTCACTCTTTTTTTTTTTTTGAGACAGAGTTTCGCTCTTTTTGCTCAGGCTGGAGTGCAGTGGCGCAATCTCTGCTCACTGCAACCTCCACCTCCTAGGTTCAAGCGATTCTCTTGCCTCAGCCTCCCAAGTAGCTGGCATTACAGGCACCTGCCACCACACCCGGCTAATTTTTGTATTTTTAGTAGAGATGGGGTTTCACCATGTTGACCAGGCTGGTCTCGAACTCCTGACCTCAGGTGATCTGCCTGCCTCAACCTCCCAAAGTGCTGGGATTACAGGCGTGAGTGAGCTACTGCTCCCAGCCTGGAGTCACTTTTTAATTAATGGTTCTTTCTGGTTTGTTGTTGTTGTTGTTGTTGAAAACCTTACTCTAATGCACATCCCTGTATATCAAGCTTGTCCAACCTGCAGCCTGTGGGCCACTTGTGGCCCAGGAAGGCTTTGAATGCAGCTTAACACAAATTTGTAAACTTTCTTTAAGCATTTAAGATTTTGTGTGTGTGTGTGTGTGTGTGTGTGTGTGTGTGTGTGTGTGTGTGTGTTTTAAGCTCATCAGCTATCGTTAGTGTTAGTGTATTTTTATTTATTTATTTTTATTTTTTATTTTTTTTGAGATGAGCGTCGCTCTGTCGCCCAGGCTGGAGTGCAGTGGCACAATCTGGGCTTACTGCAAGCCCCAAGCTCCGCCTCCCAGGTTAACGCCATTCTCCTGCCTCATCCTCCTGAGTAGCTGGGACTACAGGCGCCCGCCACCACACTCAGCTAATTTTTTTATTTTTATTTTTACTAGAGACAGGGTTTCCCCATGTTAGCCAGGATGGTCTCGATCTCCTGACCTCGTGATCTACCCGCCTCGGCCTCCCAAAGTTCTGGGATTACAGGCGTGAACCACCGCGCCCGGCCAGTGTTAGTGTATTTTATGTGTGGCCCAAGACAGTTCTTCCGTGTGGCCCAGGGAAGCCAAAAGATTGGATACCCCTGCTGTACATGCTTGCTCAAGCATGTGTGGAAGGGTTTCACTGGTGTAGCTATCAAGAAGTGAAACTGCTAGGTCGGCAGGGCACACCTATATTAAGTACGCACAGAAGCTGCCAGGTTGCCCTGCAGAATGGCTTTGCTGATTGATACCTCCAGGAATTGCTGTGAGAGGATTCATTTCCCCACCCTTTCCGAGCCTGAGCATTAGGGTTGCCTAATTAGTTTTGCCAATCTGATGGACAAAAAAATGATACCTCTGTTACTTTACTTTGTACTTTTCTGATTACTATTGAAATTGTACCTATTTCCATATTTCTTGGCCAGTCAGGTTTACCCGTATGTGAATTGTCTGTATCTATCTTTTGCTTGTTTTTCTATTGATTCTTTGTTGTTTTTCTTTTTAATTTTTTTTGAGAATTCTTTACCTGTTCTGGGTATTGATTTTTTTGTTATATATTGTAAATGTTTGTGTTTTATTATTGTGTGGTAGTTTTCCTGTTACTGTAAATGTTTCTCCTGTTTTCTGTTACTATTTGTTTTCACTGCTAATATTTTAATTAGTAATAAATACAAAGTAATATTATAGGTGACAAATCTTTTTAAAAAGTGTTTTAAAATGACTTTACCATTTTTGGAAACCAGGGTTTATTATATTTAAATTTTGAGAATTTTTTCAGGTGTCTTAGGTACTAAATTAATGTGGTCAAAAGATATTTACTGGGCCCAACTATGTGCCCCTCCTGCGCTGAGCACTGGGGATGTAATGTTTATGCATTTTGCAAGTAACTGAGAGCTGGGAAAACAGTTATTTGTTTTATTTTTTTATTTTTATTATTATTATTTTTTTGAGGCAGTCACCCAGGCTGGAGTGCAGTGGCGCAATCTTGGCTCACTGCAAGCTCCGCCTCCCGGGTTCATGCCATTCTCCTGCCTCAGCCTCCAGAGTAGTTGGGACTACAAGTGCCGGCCACCATGCCCAGCTAATTTTTTGTATTTTTTTTTTTTAGTAGAGACAGGGTTTCACCGTGTTAGCCAGGATGGTCTCAATCTCCTGACCTCGTGATCTGCCCACCTCGGCCTCACAAAGTGCTGGGATTACACGCGTGAGCCACGGTGCCTGGCCTGGTTTTTTTTTTTTTTTTTTTTGAGTCAGAGTCTTGCTCTGTTGCCCAGGTTGGAGTGCAGTGGTGCATGCTTACTGCAACCTATGCCTCCTGGGTTCGAGCGATTCTCCTGCCTCAGCCTTCTGAGTAGCTGGGATTATAGGCACCGGCCACCACACCCGGCAATTTTTCTATTTTTAGTAGAGACAGAGTTTCACCATGTTGGTCAGGCTGGTCTCGAACTCCTGACCTTGTGATCCGCCTGCTTCGGCCTCCCAAAGTGCTGGGATGATAGGCATGAGCCACCTCGCCCAGCCAACAGTTCTGTTAAATACACATAACATACAATGGCCAAGTTGTTTGTGTTTGTGTTTGCGTTTTTGTTTCGTTTTTCAATTTTTCAATTTTTTTTTTTTTTTGGAAATGGAGTCTCGCTCTGTCACCCAGGCTGGAGTGCAGTGGCGCGATCTTGGCTCACTGCAAGCTCCGCCTCCCGGGTTCACACCATTCTCCTGCCTCAGCCTCCTGAGTAACTGGGACTACAGGCGCCCGCCACCACACCTGGCTAATTTTTTTTTTTATTTTTAGTAGAGACAGGGTTTCACCGTGTTAGCCAGGATGGTCTCGATCTCCTGATCTCGTGATCCGCCCGCCTCAGCCTCCCAAAGTGCTGGGATTATAGGCATGAGCCACCACGCCCAGCCCTGTTTTTCAATTTTTTAACAAAACCAAGAGAGGGTCTCGCTATGTTGCCCCAGCTAGTCTTGAACTTCTGGGCTCAAGTAATCCTCCTCCCTCAGTCTCCCAAAGTGCTGGGACTACAGGCATGAACCACCATACCTGGCCCCCAAGTTTGTTTACATGAGAACAGAATGAATACTTTTTTGTTTTTTAAATGAGACAGAGTCTCATTCTGTCACCCAGACTGGAGTGCAGTGACGCGATGTTGTCTCACTGCAACCTCCACCACTCGGGTTCAAGCAATTCTCGTGTCTCAGTCTCCTGAGTAGCTGGCACTACAGGCGTGCACCACCACGCCCAGCTAATTTTTTTGCATTTTTATTAGAGAGAGTTTTGCCATGTTGGCCAAACTGGTCTCGACCTCCTAACTTGAAGTGATCCGCCTGTCTCGGCCTCCCAAAGTGCTGGGATTACAGGCGTGAGCCACCGCGCCTGGCCACATACTTCTTATAAAACGTTTTTTTCTTATAAAACTCTTAAGGTAGCCACATTTTTTTCCAGTGAACATGGTTTAAATAAAATGTGAGATATTCCCATTACTTTAATGGAATAGAGTTATATCAACTTTTTATTTTTATTTATTTATTTATTTATTTATTTATTTATTTTTTGAGACAGAGTCTAGTTCTGTCGCCCAGGCTGGAGTGCAGTGGCGCAATCTCGGCTCACTGCAAGCTCCACCTCCCGGGTTCACGCCATTCTCCTGGCTCAGCCTCCCGAGTAGCTGGGACTACAGGCGCCCACCACCGCGCCCGGCTAATTTTTTGTATTTTTAGTAGAGACGGGGTTTCACTGTGATCTTGATCTCCTGACCTCGTGATCCGCCCGCCTCGGCCTCCCAAAGTGCTGGGATTACAGGCATGAGCCACCGCGCCCGGCTTATTTATTTATTTCTTTATTTTTGAGACAGAGGCTCTCAGCTGGGAACAAAGGTGCACGCCACCATGCCTGGCTTTTTTTTTTTTTTTTTTTTTTTTTTGCAGAGACTAGGTCTCACTATGTTGCCCAGGCTAGTCTGCAACTCCTGGGCTCAAGCAATCCTCCCACATTGGCCTCCCAAAGTGTTGGGGTTATAGGTTTGAGCCACTGTGCCTGGCTTGAATTCTTTAATCTATCTAAAGTTTCTTTTTGTGACTATTGATAAGGGGAAGATTTTTTCCAAATAATTAGCTAGTTGTTCCAAACAAATATTTTGAATAGTTTATCCTTACTTTACTGATAGGAAGTGCCACCTTTCACAAATACTAAATTTGCTTGTATCTGTTTCCAGGCACTATTTTGTTTCTATTTAGTAATTTATTTTAACAATTAGAACTTTTGCTATCCTGTTTGGCAGGAGCCTCCTCTTTGTTCTTTTTTTTTTTTTTTTTTTTTTGAGACAGAGTCTCACTCTGTCATCCAGGCTGGAGTGCAGTGGCCCAATCTCAGCTCACTGCAACCTCCACCTCCCGGGTTCAAGCGATTCTTGTGCTTCAGCCTCCCAAGTAGCTGGGATTACAGGCATGCACCACCATGCCTGGCTAATTTTTGTATTTTTGGTAGAGACAGGGTTTCGCCATGTTGGTCAGGCTGGTCTTGAACTCCTGTCCTCAAGTGATCCACTCGCCTTGGCCTCCCAAAGTCCTGGGGTTACAGGTGTGAGCCACCACGCAGGCCTGTCTTTGTTCTTTTTCCATATTGCCTTGGCTCTTCCCGCAAATCTTTTCTCCTTGACTAGCTTTAGAATCACAAGGGTTCCAGCTCTATCCCTGCTTCTTTCTTTTTTTGTTTGTTTTTTGGAGACGGAGTCTCACTCTGTCACCCAGGCTGGAGTGCAATGGCATGATCCTGGCTTGCTGCAACCTCTGCTTCCCGGGTTCAAGCAATTCTCCTGCCTCAGCCTCCCAAGTAGCTGAGGTTACAGGCATATGCCACCACGCCCAGCTAACTTTGTATTTTTAACAGAGACAGGGTTTTACCATGTTGGCCGGGGCTTATCTTGAACTCCCCACCTCAGGTGATCCACCCACCTCGGCCTCCCAAAGTGCTGGGATTACAGGCGCGTGCCACCATGCCCAGCTAATTTTGTATTTTTAGTAGAGAAGGGTTTTACCATGTTGGCCAGGCTGATCTCGAACTCCCCACCTTAGGTGATCCGCCCACCTCAGCCTCCCAAAGTTCTGGGATTACAGGCATGAGCCACTGCGCCCCGCCTCCCTGCTTCTTTATTTAGAGTCCATTGACTCCTTGCCTGGAGCCTCTCCTTTCTTTGGTGCCAGGCCCCACTGGCCTGACTCACCCTCTGGTCCTCTATGCCCCCCAACAGGCACCGTATGCGTGGGGAGACCACCCTGTGGAACCCTGGCTGTGACCATGCAGGTATTGCCACCCAGGTGGTGGTGGAGAAGAAGCTATGGCGTGAGCAGGGGCTGAGCCGGCACCAGCTGGGCCGCGAGGCCTTTCTACAGGAGGTCTGGAAGTGGAAGGAGGAGTGAGTATGCAGCATCGCTGTGGGCATTACAGCCCTGCCTCCCTATTCCCTATCCAGAGGACCTCTGTCACCTGTAACCCCTGGCCACAGGGTCAGACCCTCTCACAGAGGCAGAGTCAGTTGGCTCTAGGGACCAGGTAAATTTCAGGGGGATGGGTGATCTCCACACTGCCCAGTCAGCCACCTGATGTCTCCCTCCAGCCCAGGCATGAGTGCTGACCTCAGCCTGTCTGTCTACTTCCAGGAAAGGTGACCGGATTTACCACCAGTTGAAGAAGCTCGGCAGCTCCTTGGACTGGGATCGAGCCTGTTTCACCATGGACCCTGTGCGTGGGAGGGGTCTCAAAGCTGGGGCAGGAGTAGGAGTCTCCCCAGGGTGGGACCCCCACAGGAGAGAGCACAGGTGCTGCGGCCCTCTCTCAGGAGCTGGCCCACGTGAAACACTATGGAGGGCTCGGCTGCAAATGCCACTTCCCACCCCTCGCCACGGCCCTTTCCATATCGTGGCCCTTCGTGTTCCCTGTCTTGGCTCTGGGAGCTCCAGATTCCTCCAGATGGCACATGATCAGGACCCCGTCTCCCATGGAGCCTGAACTCCCAGGGTCCTCTGTACCAGTACTTGTCCCCAGCTAAGTGTCTTCGTTGCCATCTGCAGCATCACAAGACTTGTTGGCTGCTCTTGTGTTCCCTTAGTCCCCTCTCCCCCTCAAGGAAAGAAGGAAAGTACTCCCCTCAGAGGGGTCTTTGTACTGGCCAGTGGGACTCTGTATGGGCCAGGCCTCACTGGAGCCCTGGGTGTCTGCCTGGGCCTCCAGCACAAGGCCCATCTCTCTGACTTCTCCCTGCTCCACCCCAGAAACTCTCAGCAGCTGTGACAGAGGCCTTTGTCCGGCTTCACGAGGAAGGTGTCATCTATCGCAGTACCCGCCTTGTTAACTGGTCCTGCACCCTCAACTCCGCCATCTCTGACATTGAGGTGCGCCCCCTAACCTGGCCTGTCTCCATCTCCAGTCTACCCTGGCCCTGGCCCCTGGGCCACGCCTCTAAATACCCATTTTACAGGTGGATAAGAAGGAGCTGACAGGTCGCACCCTGCTCTCCGTGCCTGGCTACAAGGAGAAGGTGGAGTTCGGGGTCCTCGTGTCCTTTGCCTATAAGGTCCAAGGCTCAGGTAGGAGCCAGGGGCACCAGGATCCTGGGCTGGGAGTGGTAGGAAGGGGCCAGGGCCAAGACCACAAGGCCTTCTGTCACCCCAGACAGCGACGAGGAGGTGGTGGTGGCAACAACTCGGATCGAGACAATGCTGGGAGATGTGGCTGTAGCTGTGCACCCCAAAGATACCAGATACCAGGTGGGGGACTGTCCACAGTTAGGGAAGGAATCCTGGTCAAAAAGGGCTCCCGTCCTTATGGGGTGGAGGGGTTGGACTTAGGACCCTGGCTGAGGAGAGGAAACTGGGTTAGAAACTGGTCTTCAGCGTCTTTCCCAGCTCTGACGGTATAGCTACTGGGGGCTGTTTGGGGAGTTCAAGTGTTGGGATAGTCAGGGCCCTGGAAAGGAAGGACTTGGGCCCAGCCCTTTAAAAAGTTTTTAAAAAGTTAAATAACCGGGCGTGGTGGCTCCTGCCTGTAATCCCAGCGCTTTGGGAGGCTGAGGCAGGCGAATCATAAGGTCAGGAGTTCGAGACCAGCCTGGCCAACGTAGTGAAACCCCATCTCTATTAAAAATATAAAAAATTAGCCGGTTGTGGTGGCGGGTGCCTGTAATCCCAGCTACTCAGGAGGCTAAGGCAGGAGAATCGCTTGAACATGGGATGCGGAGGTTGCAGTGAGCTGAGATCACTCCGCTGCACTTCAGCCTTGGCGACACAGCGAGACTCTGTCTCAAAAAAAACAAAAGTTAAATAGAGACAAGGTCTCGCTCTGTTAACCAGGCTGATCTTGAACTCCTGGCCTCAAGGAAGCCTCCTGCCCCAGCCTCCCAAAGTGTGGGGATTACAGATGTGAGCCATGGCACCAGGCCCCTGCATGCATTTTTTTTTTTTTTTTTTTTTTTTGAGAGAGGGTCTCTCTCGCTTAGGCTAGAGTGCAGTGGTGCCATCTTGGCTTATTGCAACCTCCACCTCCCGGGTTTCAAGCAGTACTCATGCCTCAGCCTCTTGAGTAGCTGAGATTACAGGCATGCGTCACCACACCTGGCTAATTTTTTTTTTGGTTTTTTTTTGTATTTTTAGTAGAGACAAGGTTTCACCATGTTGGCCAGGCTGGTCTCCAACTCCCGGCCTCAAGTGATCTGCCTGCCTCAGCGTCCCAAAATTCTGGGATTACAGGTGGGAATCACGGCGTCTGGCCCCACTTCATGCTTTTTTGGTATCTTTTTCCACCCCCAGCACCTGAAGGGGAAGAACGTGATCCACCCATTCCTGTCTCGGAGCCTTCCCATTGTCTTCGATGAATTTGTGGACATGGATTTTGGCACAGGTAGGCAAGGGGCTGGTCCTATGGGGACAGGAAAAGACTGGAGCTGCACCCTAGCTGTCCATCTTCTCTCAGAGAAAAAGAAAATAAGCTTCAGCCAAATAGGCAGAGCTTGGGGTGGTTCTCAAGGGACTGCATTAGACAAGTGGGGGCCAGGAGTGGTCTTGGAGCTACATCCTTCTGCAAAAGAGGTGAGTGTAGGAAGGAACTCCATGGAGTCCCTCATGACCCAGGCATCCCCATGTACACCCAGGTGCTGTGAAGATCACCCCCGCACATGACCAAAACGACTATGAAGTTGGGCAGCGGCACGGGCTGGAGGCCATCAGCATCATGGACTCCCGGGGGGCCCTCATCAACGTGCCTCCGCCTTTCCTGGTGAGGCTGCCTGGAGCATGAGTGCCCGGGTCAGGGAGATGGAGGGGTGGCTGGGCATCGCCATGATGAGGCCTCGTTCCCACCCAGGGCCTGCCTAGGTTTGAGGCCAGGAAAGCGGTGCTGGTGGCGCTGAAGGAGCGGGGACTGTTCCGTGGCGTTGAGGACAACCCCATGGTGGTGCCACTTTGCAAGTGAGGGTGGGGGCCTGAGAGGGGAGGAAGGTGGAGGGCTCCTTAGGGTTTTACCGCCTGGCCTTCTCACCTATGCGTATCCACAGCCGGTCGAAGGACGTGGTAGAGCCTCTGCTGCGGCCGCAGTGGTACGTTCGCTGCGGGGAGATGGCCCAGGCTGCCAGCGCCGCTGTGACTCGGGGCGACCTCCGCATCCTGCCTGAGGCCCATCAGCGCACATGGCATGCCTGGATGGACAACATCCGGTGTGTAGGGCCCTCAATGTGGGAGGGGCTTGCCAAGGGCTGAGCAGGGCTCGGGCCAGGCTCCACCAGGCCCTCCCTGATTTCCCCTCCCCAACATTTGCAGGGAGTGGTGCATTTCCAGGCAGCTGTGGTGGGGCCATCGCATCCCAGCCTACTTTGTCACTGTCAGTGACCCAGCGGTGCCCCCTGGGGAGGTGAGCAGACGGCCAGAGCTAGCTGCTGGGACACCCTCGGGGAGCAGTGTGTTTATTGGGTCCTTGGTGGGGGGAGGGGCAGGATGAGCCAGAAGCAAACACACCCCCTTGGGTAATCACTGCACCTGCGGCAGGACCCTGACGGGCGGTACTGGGTGAGTGGACGCAACGAGGCGGAGGCCCGGGAGAAGGCAGCCAAGGAGTTCGGAGTGTCCCCTGACAAGATCAGTCTCCAGCAAGGCAAGGAGGGGCTTTGAGGGTTTGGAGGGAGTTGTTGGGGGCAGAGCTCCACTCCCTCTGACCTCTGACTTTTGGCCTCTCTCAGATGAGGATGTATTGGATACCTGGTTCTCCTCCGGCCTCTTCCCCTTATCCATTTTTGGCTGGCCCAACCAGGTGTGTTCCTGGGGCCAGGGCTTGGCGGGACAGGGGACTGGAGGGTGGGTGTTGGCTCCCCTTCACACCCTGGTCTGCCCTCAGTCAGAAGACCTGAGTGTGTTCTACCCTGGGACACTGCTGGAGACTGGTCACGACATCCTCTTCTTCTGGGTGGCCCGGATGGTCATGCTGGGCCTGAAGCTCACGGGCAGGCTGCCCTTTAGAGAGGTGCGGAGACAGCCGAGACCCTCCCATCACCCCCAGCCTCCTCTCCTGCTGTCCTGTTCTGCAGCACAGGCCCCGCGTGGCTGGGGCATGGAGTTAGCTGTAGGCAAGCCTGACCCAGGGGCTGGTGGGGGGTTGAAATCCAGCCTGGGCCCTGCTCAGTGATTCCTGTGCCCAGGGCTTCGTCTTCCCAGAGGAGGGAGTGCTTCTGATTCACATAAAGGCACTGAACGAACACTTGGGGACACTCAGTGGGACATGAGGTTCACAGTGGGGTAGACCAGACACAGTCCTGGTCGAGGCACTGAGGCCGGGGAAGGAGAGGACTGAGTCTCACGGGCCTGCCCACCTGCTCTTCAGGTCTACCTCCATGCCATCGTGCGAGATGCTCACGGCCGGAAGATGAGCAAGTCTCTAGGCAATGTCATCGATCCCCTGGACGTCATCTATGGAGTCTCCCTGCAGGTGGGCTGGGTGCTGGGCCAGCCAGGAAGGGCTGTGGGGCTGTGGCCACAGCCACCTGACTGCTCCCACTCCACCCTCAGGGCCTCCACGACCAGCTACTGAACAGCAACCTGGATCCCAGCGAGGTGGAGAAGGCCAAAGAAGGGCAGGTGTGGAGGGTTGGGCTGGGCTGAGCAGGGGCACAGCGTGGATGGGGCTGGCTGAGGACACTCGTGCCTCTGCCTCTTCCCTGTAGAAAGCTGACTTCCCAGCGGGGATTCCCGAGTGTGGCACCGATGCTCTCCGGTTTGGATTATGTGCCTACACGTCCCAGGGTATGGCCCCCAAAGCTGCCCTCCCAGCCACTCTCTCCTTCTGTGAGGCCCATCCCTCTTCTCCACCCTGAGCCTCTGGTGGGCATGGGCTGGGAAGAGGATGATGAGGACTCACGTCTTACCCCCGACCCAGGTCGTGACATCAACCTGGATGTGAACCGGATACTGGGTTACCGCCACTTCTGCAACAAGCTCTGGAATGCCACCAAGTTTGCCCTTCGTGGCCTTGGGAAGGGTTTTGTGCCCTCACCCACCTCCCAGGTAAGGGCCTGGTGGGCAGCAAAGGCTGGGCACAGGAATCACTGAGCAGGGCCCACACAGGCTGCACCCCTGTCCAGAGTGGCCTCCGTGTTGCCGGGGGGACAGATAGACACAGAGACGGACAGTTAAAGGGAAAGCCCAGGGCAGTGGGGGCTGGGGCCTGTCACTTCTTCCCAGATCCTGGCACATAGGTGGTTGCTTTGGACTCATCAGACTCTGGATGAAGATTTGCCCATGACTCCTGCCCCCATGGGGTTCTGGCACCCTCCCCTGGCCCGCGGGCTGATACACCCTCTCTCCCCAAGCCCGGAGGCCATGAAAGCCTGGTGGACCGCTGGATCCGCAGCCGCCTGACAGAGGCTGTGAGGCTCAGCAATCAAGGCTTCCAGGCCTACGACTTCCCGGCCGCCACCACTGCCCAGTACAGCTTCTGGCTCTATGAGCTCTGTGATGTCTACTTGGTGAGAAGGAGCAGAGCGGGGCAGGGGATGGTGGGGGCGGGCGGGCAGCAGAGCCCTGGGCTCGGTTTTGCCAGAGTTGGCCTTGAGACCTAAGCCAACCCATCCCCTTCCCAGTCCTCACATGCACAGTGAGGGCTCAAGGCTAGCCGTGAGCCCTGTACCTCTCGTCCCCTAGGAGTGCCTAAAACCTGTACTGAATGGGGTAGACCAGGTGGCAGCCGAGTGTGCCCGCCAGACCCTGTACACCTGCCTGGACGTTGGCCTGCGGCTGCTCTCGCCCTTCATGCCCTTCGTGACGGAGGAGCTGTTCCAGAGGCTGCCCCGGAGGATGCCGCAAGCTCCCCCTAGCCTCTGTGTCACCCCCTACCCAGAGCCCTCAGAGGTATGGCATGGCCTGGAGAGGGGAGTCTGACCTGCGCTCCAGCCCCCCTCACCCCCTCCTCCACCCCACAGTGCTCCTGGAAGGACCCTGAGGCAGAAGCTGCCCTCGAGCTGGCGCTAAGCATCACGCGAGCTGTGCGCTCCCTGCGGGCGGACTACAACCTCACCCGGATCCGGCCTGACTGTGAGCCTCACGCCCCCATGTCCACCCCATCCCACTGTCCCCTCAGCCCACTCTGCGACCCAGTGTCCAGCAGTGACTGCTTGGTTTCCTGTCTCCATGGAGCTAGGCCTCACCTTTCTCCCTCTCTGGCAGGCTTCCTGGAAGTGGCGGATGAGGCCACGGGCGCCCTGGCATCGGCTGTGTCGGGCTACGTGCAGGCGCTGTCCAGCGCAGGTGTGGTGGCTGTTCTGGCCCTGGGGGCTCCCGCCCCGCAGGGTTGCGCTGTGGCTCTGGCCTCTGATCGCTGCTCCATCCACCTGCAGCTGCAGGGGCTGGTGGACCCTGTGCGGGAGCTGGGCAAGCTGCAAGCCAAGCGAGTTGAGGCACAGCGGCAGGCCCAGCGTCTGCGGGAACGCCGTGCCGCCTCAGGCTACCCTGTCAAAGTGCCCCTCGAAGTCCAGGAGGCAGATGAAGCCAAGGTGTGTGGCGTGAGTGGGCATTTCCCACACCATCCACTTCCTCCGTCAAAACCCTGGTCTGGGCTGGTCCGAGTACAGTGGTGTTGACGATTAATTGATCGTAACCAGCTACAGATTTCTTTGTTCCTTCTCCATTCCCACTAACCTTACAAAACAAAACAGCCTGGTTCAGTGCCTCACACCTGTAATCCCAGAACTTTGGGAGGCCGAGGTGGGTGGATCACTTGAGCCCAGGGGTTTGAGAGCAGCCAACATGGTGAAATCCCATCTCTACAACAAATATAGAAAAATCAGCTGGCCACAGTGGCACACACCTGGGGTCCCAGCTACTCGGGGGGCTGAGGTGGGCGGATTGCTTGAGCCTGGGAGGTCAAGGCTGCAGTGAGCCGAGATCATGCCACTGCACTCCAGCCTGGACAACAGAGAGAGAGAAGACCCTCTCTCTCAAAAAAAAAAAAAAAAAAAAAAAAGCATCCAAAACAAAACCCAAAATCCAAACCAAAACTTCCTGGTCTGGAAGCTGGACTCTGTACCCAAACCTGGGGAATCCACTGGGAAGCATGGAGCCCAGGAGCTTGGAGCAGGGACCATAGAATGCCCTTCCCTTACACATGGGGAGCAGCTGGGGGCTGGGCACAGCCCAGGGTCACACAACAGGTCGGAGATGGAGGCTGACCTAGAACCAGGCATCCTATCTCCCAATCAGACCCTTCATACCCCACCCAGCTGCCTAAAATGTGGAAACCCGCATGCCTGAGGCTAGGCTTGGGGTCCACGTGTAGTCGGGAGCCCTGGACCTCCCACCACTTACTTTCAAGCCTACCGAGCTGACCCTGGAAGGCCAGTCTCGTTTGTCCCCTGCCTCCTGGGTTCCGCCAGAGAGGAGTAGTATAGTAAGCTGCACAGACATGGAGAAAATCAGTCATGGAGGCCAAGAGCTAGAGAGCCTTGAGTGGACCTGGTTCATCTCACCTGGTTCTCCCAAGAGCCCTGGGAGGGGTAATATTATCGTCATCTGACAAATGAAGTGATTGGCCTGGGACCCTGTGCTCTCCTGCTTACGTGGGGACACTGTGTGGGGACCATGGAGGCTCTGAGGTTCCTTTGTTCTTGGGGACTGACCACTCTGTGGAAAAAGGCAAGACCCAAGAGGTGCTGGTGGAGGTGGGGGTGGGGGTGCTGGCGGAAATGTGTGGGGAGCCACGCCAGCCAGGTTCACACCTCCTCCGAGCTACTGACCTTCCATGGTCCTCGCTCATCTTTCCAACTTTGTTGTCCTGGGTGTCTGGGGGTCTCTTCGCTTGGACGTGGGTCCTCACCCATCCCCTGGTTCCACTCCAGCTCCAACAGACGGAAGCAGAGCTCAGGAAGGTGGATGAGGCCATCGCCCTATTCCAGAAGATGCTGTGATCCACCACCTAGCTTCCCCGCTCACCCCCAGCAGCTCACCATGGGGATGGCAGCAATAAAATATTTTCCCACAAAATCCTCTTGTCATCTGTGGTGGGGGCAGAGAGGGGAGCAGAGGGGCTGGGTGCCTGAATCCCTGGGGGTTGCAGGGTGAGAGTGAGGCCCTGGTTCTGGAGGGCAGAGGGGCGGGTCTGTCTGGGTCTGTCCCTGGCACTGTGCCAGGCCTGAGTCACGCTGCTCACTCCCTTCCTCCTCCCCAGCTTTCATTCACCTCTGCACTGCGGCCAAGGGAGGCCCGCCCTGCCATGGGCTGCTGCCTGTGGCCTTGGGCAGGCATGAGCAAAGGGGCCAGGGGGGTTGCCTGTCCTCCCCCACCCTGTGGGGGCCTTCCTCCCCCTCTACTGGGCCTCGGTTAATTATAACTCTGACCTAAGTGCCCTGTGACGTCGTGCCCGGGCCAGCCCTTCCTAGGAGACCCAGCAACCAGGTAGGGGAGGGCCTGAGAGGACTCAGGCTTCCTGTGCATGGGGAGTGTTTCTGCAGCAGGGCTGGGAACTCAGCCAGGGACTGGGGAGGGGGGCCTGGGGGAGGAACCCTGGACCCCTCTCCTGGCAGCTGTGTATGTCCCTAATGGTCAGATGAGGCCCTCAGGTTGTCTGGGTGACAGAGAGGGCGGGGAAGCCAGGCTGCAGCAGACGCGACTTTTGAGGTAAAGCAGGTGCCCATGGAGACCCGCAGAGCTGGCCTGCCCTGGAATTGCAGCTGCTTCCTCCTCCCTTGAGAGCCTTCTGTCTCCCAGGTCCATGTCTCAGCCATGCTCCCCACGGAAGTGCCCCAGTCCCACCCGGGCCCCTCAGTGTTGCTTCTGCTGCAGCTGCTGCTGCCCCCCACATCTGCCTTCTTCCCCAACATCTGGAGCCTGCTGGCTGCCCCTGGCTCCATCACCCACCAAGACCTAACTGAGGAGGCAGCACTCAACGTCACCCTGCAGCTCTTCCTGGAGCGGCCACCCCCAGGCCGCCCCCCTCTTCGTCTTGAGGACTTCCTGGTGAGCATCCCAGGGTCCTGTCACACCCCTGCCAGAGTCCCCAATTCCTGGGGCCTCTACTCCGTGAGGGCTCTGGTTGCCAAGAGAAGAGACACCCATGGCCCCATCCCTGCAGCAACAATCCCCAGTAGTCTTGGTCCTGAAATTAGGAGTCCCCCTCCTTTGTGGGGCTCAGGACCCTCATACCCAGCCTTGAGTGTCAGTTGCTGAGATAAGGTGGGCAACAGTCAATCCAAAGGGCCTCCCTGGAGCCCCGTCCTCCGCTATTCTCCCCAGGGTCGAACACTCCTTGCCGATGACCTCTTTGCCGCCTACTTTGGACCTGGTTCTCCTTCTCGGCGGTTCCGAGCAGCCTTAGGTGAGGTGTCTCGTGCCAATGCGGCCCAGGACTTCCTGCCGACTTCCAGGAATGACCCCGACCTGCACTTTGATGCTGAGCGACTGGATCAGGGACGCGCGCAACTGGTAGGGGCTCTGCGGGAGACCCTGGTGGCAACCAGAGCCCTTGACCACACCCTGGCTCGCCAGCGCCTCGGGGCTGCACTTCATGCCCTGCAGGTGAGAACAGGGTTGGGTTGATGGTCAGAGGGGTCTTCATGTCCGGGATAGAGAGCATCCTATGGTGCCTTCTTGATCATGCCTTCTCCACTCTGGAAGGGGTGGGCACTGGCACGTGGTGCCCCGAGGTTGTGTCCCAGTTCCCCACCTCCAAGCTGGCAGTGCTTCCTGTAGGAACAGCAAGGAGGGCACTGTGGCTGGAGGGAAGTGAGGGTGAGAGAGGAAGGCTGTGAGGTCAGAGAGCTGAGGGAGCAGCACATGCTGCAGGACCCTGCAGGCCCAGAGAGGCCTTGGGTTAGACTCTGAGCTGGGAAGAGATGCTGGGACAGTTTCCACCCGGGCAAAGCTCTGCTCTGAGCATGGAGAGGGGGCGGTGGAGGGGACTTGGGGTGTCTGGTGGGAGTAGTGGGAGTAGGAGGGGACTTTCCAGGTGGGGAACTCAAAGGAGTGGCATATTAATGCTGGGGATGGTGAGAAAGGTCAGACTAGTGCCTCATTCCCCTTCTCCTGTCCTCTGGACCAGGATTTCTACAGTCATAGCAACTGGGTGGAGCTGGGTGAGCAGCAGCCACACCCTCACCTCCTCTGGCCAAGACAGGAGCTCCAGAACCTGGCACAAGGTACGGCTGTGACCCTGGCGGTGAGGCGGGAGTCCACAGGGCTACCTCAGTCCACCCAGCCACTGTGTCACATTCTGAGGTCCCAGAGGGTGTGATGTTACTTAATCTCCACAAGGACTGAAGTCCCCCAGTCCAAGCAATGCCTGGCTCGGTTAAGCAGCTTCCCCAACGTCACACAGGGAAAAACAGCTAGGACCAGGTCTCCAGAACTCAGTCCCGTCTTAAGTGTGGCTTCTTCCCCGCACTGACTCACACGGGGCCTTCTCCCACAGCTGCCTCATCCTCTCGCCTGGAAGCTGCCTCCTGTCCACAACTCACAGAGGGTGCAGTCCCCATAGGATTGGTCCCTACACGTACTGTTTGGGTTTTTTTCTTATTATTTATTTATGTATTTATTTTTTAGAGATGAGGTCTCACTATGTGGCACAGGCTGGTCTCAAACTCCTAGACTCAAGCAATCTGCCCGCCTCTACCTTCTAAAGTGCTAGGATTACAGGCGTGAGCCACCGCGCCCAGCCTGTGCTGTGTTTTCTAGCACGGCCCCAGTTTCAAACATTCAGGCTCACTGTGGGCCCATGATCCTAGGTTTTAGTTCAGAAAGCCTTGCTAGGGAACTTCTGGGCTTTCACTTCATCCCAGCTGGGAGGAAAAGGTGAAGAGGTTAGGGTGTGTGGGGATAAAGGCTGGGGGTGGCAGAATCTTGGGTTCTAGTCCTGCCCTCTCTTCCCAGTGGCTGATCCTACCTGCTCTGATTGCGAGGCGTTGAGCTGCCCTGGGAATTGGCTGGGCTTCACACTCCTCACCTCTGGCTACTTTGGAACTCATCCCCCGAAACCTCCAGGTACCAGACAAGAAAGTTCCCCAGAAGTAAGGGGAGAAAGTCACTCCCTTACAGGATCTCTGTTCTGTAGGCCCGTATGCCTTTGCTATGGCATCTCCTCCTAGGAGGAGAGGATGCTGGGAACAGGGTGGGTGGAGGAAAGTCCCCTGAGGAGGCTGTGGTGGGGTTGAGGTAGGGGAGCAACTTCTTCCTCCACTGATAGGATTTCTCCCTTGTCATAGGCAGCTTTGGGGGACTGGCTGGAGGGATCAGGGGATCCACCATGTGCTGTGCTGATTGACTATGGCGCCCTAAGATTTACTCCAGAATTTCCCTCCACAAAGCATCATCCTTTTTTTTTTTTTTTGAGACAGAGTTTTGCTCTTGTTGCCCAGGCTGGAGTGCAGTGGCGCGATCTCGGCTCACCGCAACCTCCGCCTCCCGGGTTGAAGTGATTCTCCTGCCTCAGCCTCCCGAGTAGCTGGGATTACAGGCATGAGTCACCACGCCTGGCTAATTTTGTATTTTTAGTAGAGACGGGGTTTCATCATGTTTGCCAGGCTGGTCTCAAACTCCTGACTTCAGGTGATCTGCCCGCCTTGGCCTCCCAAAGTGCTGGGATTACTGGTGTGAGCCACCTTGTCCAGTCATCATTTATTTATTTATTTATTTGAGACTGAGTCTCGCTCTGCCGCCCAGGCTGGAGTGCAGTGGCACGATCTCGGTTCGGTTCACTGCAACCTCCACCTCTTGGGATCAAGCTATTCTCCTTCCTCAGTCTCCTAAGTAGCTGGGATTACAAGCATGCGCCACCACACTTGTCTAATTTTTATAGTTTTAGTAGAGACAGAGTTTCACCATGTTGGCCAGGCTGGTCTTGAGCTCCTGATCTCAGATGATCTGCCTGCCTCAACCTCCCAAAGTGCTAGGATTTCAGGCGTGAGCCACTGCGCCCACCCCCATCATCATTTCTTGCTGAACCCTTGCTGAGGGGTGAGAGGGTCAGGCCAGGTCTGAAAGGGCCTCATTTTCTTAGGAGGCAGTGGGTTTTTGACCTCCACTCTCCAGATCCCTTTCCCCAACCCAGGGAAATGTAGCCACGGGGGCCATTTTGACCTGAGCAGCTCCCAGCCACCGAGGGGAGGCATCAACAAGGACAGCACATCCCCAGGCTTCTCCCCTCACCACATGCTGCACCTCCAGGCTGCAAAACTGGCCCTTCTAGCCTCCATCCAGGCCTTCGGCCTTCTGCGAAGCCGCCTGGGAGACAGGGATTTCTCCAGGTGAGTGGCCTCCTAGGGATGGACCCCCTCATAGGTAGGCATTCCTGTGGGAACTGAGAAACTAGACACTGGAGACAAACGTGCAGACCCTTCACTGTGTCTCTGGCTTGCTCCCCAGGCTGCTGGACATCACCCCAGCCTCCAGCCTGAGCTTTGTCCTGGACACCACGGGCAGCATGGGTGAGGAGATCAACGCTGCCAAAATCCAGGCTCGCCACATTGTGGAGCAGCGGAGGGGCAGCCCCATGGAGCCTATCCACTATGTCCTGGTGCCTTTTCATGACCCAGGTAAGTGTGGTCTGGCTAGGACAGTAGAGGGGAGGAAAATTCAAGGTAAGGGATAGACTGGGCATGGTGGCTCACGCCTGTAATCCCAGCACTTTGGGAGGCTGAGGCAGGTGGATCACCTGAGGTTGGGAGTTTGAGACCAGCCTGACCAACATGGAGAAACCCCGTCTCTACTAAAAATACAAAATTAGCCGGGCGTAGTGGTGCATGCCTGTAATCCCAGCTACTCGGGAGGCTGAGGCAGGAGAATCGCTTGAACCCGGGAGGCGGAGGTTGCGGTGAACCGAGATCGCAACTTTGCACTCCAGCCTGGGCAACAAGAGCAAAAAACTCCGTCTCAGAAAAAAAAAAAAAGAAAGAAAAGAAAAAAAGGTAAGGGATAAAGGCCTGTGGTGAGGAAGTGGGCTCGTGGTGGCACTTCCTGTAGTAGTCCTGAGTGAGCCTCTATGGTGTGCATAC